AAACGAATAGAACCTGTGGATGTATCTATATTGATTGCTTATTTTATCTGTTTGGTACAGATGAGTGTAACTTGTAAGTATTACCAGTATGAGTAGTATGAGTCGTGGAAAGCTATGGTTCGGAGAGAGAAGATTGCCAACAGCAACTCCCAATGATTTTGGCTGACACCTATAACCCACGAGTCTATCGCAGTATTCTTCTCGGAATGCCCTACACTGAATGTCTTAAGACTGAACATTCAATAAGACTCCCAACAATCCCGACGAAATCTATGTGGAAAGCGAAAGCAAGGCTGCGTTGAGTCTCTTATCTCCTTTCCGCCCAATGCTGCCCGACGAACTACTACACATGGTCAATGCAATGCATCTCGCACATACATACATACAGAGGCACGTTATGCCACCTAATTCCCATTCGTACGGGTCTACATGGGCTGGATCGACCTTGCTTGCTTGCCTGCCTGCCCACATGGATCAAAAGATGACACGAAAGCTTCGAATACTGCAATTAAGGGAGAACCGTAAGCAAGGCGATCTAGGGAATCTTAAGCCCAAAATAGGACTGGAACAGTTTGGTATCCAATCCACAAACCCCGCGAGCGTTAGTTCTGGAGATAGTCGTTCTCGACCTCAACAGACCGGGGCCCAGGTCATCGATTAGGCCTTCAACAGCTTGCGTAGACTGCACATAAGTGAAGCCTAGGTTCCAAGATCCTATTAAAACTCTGCCTTTTCGCCGCGGAATCTCTCGATGAACCTATTAGATTTTCCTCATGGCATTACCTTTCCGATTGACAATCCCGATAGGTTCCTCAACCACATGGCAGAACTTGAGGCCCCATTGCAATATCTGTGGCGAACAACACGTTATCGTCGACGAGGCTTTCCACCTGAGGCCCGCAAGTTTCAAGATCGGCCCGAACGGTAGCGATATCCTGAGAAGTCGAGAAAACCGGGACCGAGCCCCGGTAGTCCCACAGGTCTGCGGCAGCCTCTAGATCATGCTGGGTCCACGAATCCGAGGAAGAGCCGTGTCCGCTATACCTGATCAAGTTCATGACCTGGATTGTTGGCCATCGCTGCACGTGCCGTTGTGGTGAGACACAAGCCCTAAAGTACGGGAGGAAGCGCTTGTAAGCCCACCCACACCTATCTTCATTTTGACGGGTGCTCATGATTCATGCCTGGCGTTGCCACCGAACTCGATACCATCTTAAAAAAAATTGAGATGGCTGGGATACGCTTGATAGTTTGTTTACTCTGAAGATACTCCATTCGAAGCGGATACTGTTGGTCAGAGCTTGTTGCGGTGAGAGCCGCAAGTCGTCTAGCCACTGAGTTCCACCATGCCACGGTGGTGACGTGTACGACCTTTGGCTGCAGTGTTATGAGACTAGGTGCCAGAAATCTGGGCCAATGTCAATCGTCAACGAGAGGAGGGCATTCATGAAAAATAAATGTGGTGGCTGTCTGATTGTCCGTCTCTTCCAGCCCTTAACACATGCTTGTGGTATTGTTTGAGTTCTTACCGCTGGGGCGTCTAAGACATGTTTCGAAAAAAATCAAGGACACTGTACTTGCGTCGCTCAAGATGGTAGACTTGCCAAGTTGCCGGAAATAGTGGATCCTCGAATCAATAGCAGTCGTCGACAAGCATCGTATCGTCCATTTGGAAAGCTGCCGATTCCGGCAAGCTGCAGAGCGTACTAACCTAACCCTCTCCACAATTGAGACCCTGACAACTCGGCAATCTCAAGAGTCTGGTATGCTGGCCCTATCTGGTAATCCGTCTATATCTTCAATCGTCGTGTTGAGTCTAAGTTGCTGTATTGAATGTTTAAGCGGCGCATTTTAGATGCCTGTGCCGAGACAACTAAACGACTGAAACGCCGCATGCCTTGTAGCATGTTGATGGAGGATCGGCCTTTTCATGATTCGGTACCGGTGAAATCCTCCACAACGTTTCCATTTCGTTAGATCGTATTTTGTTTTAGCCCTCTTCGAAGTCCGGTCTGGGCACATGTTCATAGTTATTGCTGGTTACTCGTAGAACTTCAGTCGTTGCCTACATTTACGGTTGAAGAAGGCCTAGAACAGAACCGACGAAGTAGAAAGACGCACACGAGTCAGTAAAATACACCTAAAATGGAACAATCCAAAATGGAAACGGAGCCGAATGGGACTATGATACTAGAGAATGGTCTAGTCTAGCCTCCATAGTTAGCCGCCATACAAATTTGCCATATGGATCGAGCATCTCATGGCCTTCGAATTAGTCTCTGCATGTAGCTCTAGCTGGCAATCTGTGCAAAATTTCTTTAGAAGAGTGAAAATCTAGGGCCCAACCTTCTCAGCCTTACGGGTTAGAAAATCCGTAGCGTATGAGAACAACGCTAGAATCGACCTAACCGAGCTGGCTGAGCAGAGAAAAAAGTAGCACCCTCACGAGCAGCGAAACAACATTGTTAGGAAGAGATCCGTATGGTGTTTGTTTGGGTCGATGCAGATTAATATACACGCCCGTGATCGGTCTCTGAGGCGGAGTTGGAGGTCAAATTCTAAGCATCCCATGACGACTTTTTGAGAGGGGTGAGATCCAAGGGTCCCCCGCCCGCAGATATTAGGCTTGTGGGCTGCTCTCGATTTGATTAGCAGGACCTCCAAATTCGTGAACCCCCATGAAGCGGCACTCGCGTGGTCATTTTGCAGGCGGGGTCTCCTGGATACTTATCACATTTGAGGAAAATGATAGTCACGAGTAATCTGAGTCTTAAGTGAAATCGGAAAATGGTGGACGGATATATTCCGAGATTTGACTGCACAACCTAATGAAGCAATTTATGGATTGGAGTCATTCGCGGGGGAAAAAAAGGGGTGGGGTTCACGATCAAAGGCGGAATGTCGTATTGGATATTACTACCAGGGTCTTTCCATAGGGACCCTTAAAAACCCTTTGGACATGGTACCTGAGGAATATAAATTAGTGGTGATCAAATCCGGTTAGGAGCAAACGCCTCCGATCAACTTAGGGCACCTCAAGTTAGATATGAAGAGTCAGAAAAGGGAAATCATTAGCACACAATAGCACTAAGGGGCGGGCGGGAGGACCGGCAAACAGGCAAAGTAGAGACACACTGCTGATGGTGAACCGCAAGGGAGGGTAAAAGAAAACGTGTGGGGGCAGGGGGATAAGAAGCTGAAGACATGCTTGCCATTCTGCGAGTAAGAAACGACGTTGCTATGTTGGGAATGCCCTGATTGGCGGGCTGAAGACGTTTCGCATCTTGGGAGTTTCTATTCGAAGCTCTTGCGGGCCGTCCCCCCTGTAGCGAGGTAAACTGTTCATTGGCATGCTGGGATTCGTTGGTTGGCTTGATGACAATTGGCCTTGTTGGCGAATGGCCATTGGGCAGAAAAATGCCAGCAGCACCGAGAAGTGCGCTGTACGCGATAGTAAGATAATCGGCGTTTGTAGAGATTCACGGGTGGCTAGCTGAGCGATGACGTCGATCATGGCAGAAAGTAGTAGCTAGATAATAATAAAAAGGGAAAATTCTGATATTGAAATGCGACATAATATTCTCTTGATACCCTCCTTCAGGTTGTCGAACACCTCAAGTCGTCAGACTGGAGATTGCAATTCCCGCATTTACCTCATAAGGATGGGGACCATGGGGACTGCTGGTGTTTAGAAGGTATTCAGAAGCACCTAGGTATGCAGGTCATCTACATGTACCATTAGATAAGTCAGAGAGGAATTTAATGAGAGGTGATGGAGGGAGATACATCACTGAACATCTCGTCAGTACATACAAATCAGAAAAGGATCTGAGGAGTGACGAGATTGGACTTGGGCTCAGGGAAAAATAAGGACTTTGGTTGGACAAGAAGGAGAAGAAGTGCTACGCTAGGCTCCATCTAGATGGATGTGTGGAGAAAGGCTAGGACGTGGCAGTGGTAGATCCGCTCCGAGAGGCCGGTTGCTTCTAGCGTACCCATTAAAGGAAAGGGCCTTGGAGAAGGTCCATTAAAAGCAAGAAAAACCTAGGGTCCTAAAGCAGGAACATCTATGTACGTACCTCACGTACCACATGTGTGTCGGACACTCTGAGGGGATAGGAGGGGGAAGGAGACAGGAGAGAGGAGAGAGGGAAAGAATCATTGTCCCCACTTAGTTTAACCCCTGTCAGACCCGCATAAAATTGATTCATCGACCTCCCACAACGTCAAGAGCTGCGCTATTCCTGCCTTACAATGCTAGTACTACTAATACATCCCGGTAGGGTTTTCCGTCCTCCAGTTCTTTTCTTTTTGTCCATTCAATAATTACACTCTGCCACGAGACCGCACAACTCCTATTGTTCATGTAAATGCAAATTTCATGTGAACAAACTCGAGCAAACAAATACGCCGATACCCCCAGACTCATCTTGTAAAAGGGAGCTAGACATCGACCGTAATATCCTACATGTCGCCTTGACGGAGCTAGCTCGTTGTACACGTAGACCTGGACCTGGGCCTGAACCTGAACCTCAACCTGACTTACACCTCGGCATCCAACTAACATTTATATACACCCGACTGCCAAACGTACCACCTCCCGGGCTGTAACGACCCTACTGCGACTTCATTAAGACGGATTATAAAAGACGAATCAAAGCTCTTGTTTAGGTTACTGCGGGTTACAGTAGCAGCGTCTTGTACTGAACAAACGGACAAGACTCGAGGGGTTGCCAGGTGGTCGCACGTTACAGGTTCACTGGGTGAATCATACCTTTTCCCCCTCCTTCGACTCGATACCCATTGAGTTTGTGCCCAGTTCTTTCTCAGTAGATCGTCGACGGTCGCTGCTGAATGAAGTTGCTGAATGAAGTTGCTGAATGAAAGGATCGATGCTGGTTTATTCATCCAAGTCCACAACTACCTCGAATAGTTTATCGTTGGGTTCCTGAGAAGCTCCGTCGCGATTTGGGGAAATCTAGATCCTAGAGATCGTGATCGCCCAATCAACGTTTTGCGAAACGCAACCTCCACATCGACGACAGATCCCTTCCCCTCAGTTTCCTACGCGACTCGTTCGTATCGTATCGACCATGCTTACCATGACGAGGTTACCGTCCGACTCTTTCCTGCCCTCAGGAGGCATGCTTGATCATACCCAACGATCGATATCCTTCGTACCTCATTCTAACGGCCGTTCCTCAGCGTCAATCATATCTCCGTTATCTTTACCACACTCCATAAATCAACTGTCATATATCGACGAGTCACATTTAACAAACTTACCACCTTCTAATTATTCACATTCGCTTTCTGTAGCTCCACAGCCTCAGCAGCAGACCCTCTCACCACGCCGAAGTCCTCTAAACAACCCTGAACAGAGATTGGCTAGCCTGTCACCCACCCAGAATCTGCCCGAGTCCGGGGTGACGTCCCCACCCGACAACATGAGTACCGACAATCTAGTGGACCTGCTGCGACGCAGGGAAGAGCAGAACAAAAAGATGACCGAGCTGTGGCGTGTTGAGCGTGCCCAACTTGAGGCCAACCGTAATCGTGCTGAAGAACTTTACCAAGAAGAGCGCACCATAATAGATCGTGAACGAAATCTGTGGCAACAGGAAAAGGCTAGGCTCCAGAACGAGTTGTTCCAGTGGCAGAAGAGAGTAAAATTGCTCGAAAACGACAAGCACCAGCTTATACAGCAGAATCAAAATTTATCGATCCGCCTCCGGGGCACGCGGGGCGGAGGTCAAGCAACAAGATTTCTTGATGGCAGCGCCGATACTACTGCGGGCTCTATTAGAGGCGGTGGCCTCGGTAGTCCAGGGTCCCACTCGCAGTCAACAGACATGCCTCAGAGTTCATCAGAAGGCACATCTCCGAATACTGTACCTTCGGTGAGTACTGTGCCCGACATACTTCGTGGATCGACGATGCCGGAATCGCAGCCGTTCATACCACTGGACCCCCGTATGCAAGGCCCATCACCTGGCGTGGCGTCTCCGACGACCCAAGAAGAACGAATTCCATCAATCGATATCCAAGAGGTTATGCCTGAACTGGAAGGGATTCGCGTGAGGACGAATGCTGTCCAGAAGACGACATTCACTGACGAGAAGCCACTCTCACCTCCAGTCGGGCTGAAAAAGCTCTCGCCATCTACCGCAGTTAAGCACGATCCGGCTCGCGTGCGGGTAGTGCCAGCTGAATTGACCAAAGAGGCGCTCCAGGCTCCCGAGTCCGACAGGCTTACGATGCATGCTGGGCACACGCCAAACCACTCCATGTCCCTGTCCCGTCTCCACACTGTCGATTCTACTGGAGCAACTAACACATCCAATAGCTCTGGTACGCAAACCCCTAAAAATCACCCATTAGAACTCAGTCAAGGGAGCACTCTGGAACAAATCTCGCACGATAAGCTAGTATCTGATATCGCCGCCATCGAAACATGTATGGAGTTGGATATTAGCGAGCCCGCGGCCAACAGAATGGGACCCCTACCCGTCTTGGTTCCACGTGAGCACGACCCGGAGTTAAAAGGGCCTTTGCAACTTAGAAATCTCCCGGCTGCCGACGAGCCATTCCTGAAGGCTCTGTCGGACAAACTTGAGCACGTCATCACTAATAATCTTAGTCCGACTGTGCTCGAGGACCAGGCTTCGGAGCCGAAGGAATTTCCTGAGCTAAACCGTGAGGAAACTACGAAGGCTAGTGGTGATGGGGCCCATGACACCCACGAGAAACCAGCTGAGGACGAAGATGAGGAAATTGATATTCCTCTCAAGCTGAAGTCGTCCAACAACTTCGGCGCACCTCTTGGACAGCTTCGGAAACAAGGATTTTGAACGTTCCCCGTTCGTCGATGTCGTTGATGTATGCAACATCGCTCGCAAATCACGTTCTGTGCACATAATATTATTATTTCTTTTATTATCCATCCTTCCTGGCGCTTTTGATACGGTCAGTGAGGGCTGCTTGTTGGTTAAGCATGGGGCACGCACCGCGAAGATTTTACATCGATTTCCAAATTCCCGATACCCCTTGTCAATTTTTTATTGTCTGGTTTGCGCAAAGGAAATTCTGGGTCGGCTTAGTTTATGGTGTTTGGAACTCGAAGGACGACGAAATTAGCATTGGAAAAGGGCGCATGCTAGGTGGAATCATCCCCATAATATTTTAGGGGGCAGCGTTATCCGTTTGGCTTTTCCGTTTGAGTGATCATTTTCTTTTCAAGAAGCATTTAGATATGGCGAGCTTGATTGATTGGCATTTGGACGGAGAAAGACAAAAAAAATTGCGACAGACGGGACTTTACATATTGCATTTTAGATATTTATACCTGGGTCTTGACCCTGTCTTCAGCGAGGGCATTGCATAGGAAAAGGGGCTCTTTTTGAAAATAATTATTGGTCGAGCGGAGACATCCTTGGACTATAATATCTGTGGCCAGGCAACTGGTCTTCGAAGTTCAATACAAATATCAACATTTTTCATGTCAATTTATTGCCCGACTTGAGTAGTACGGCTCTTTGATGTCCTTGATATGTACTTATTATTTCATATTTTGTCAGACACGGGTATCTACTGCTTCCTACCTAGGCAGGGGAAAATTCGAAGAATTGGTATATACTGAAGCAACCTCCACGAGCTGCGCAAATACTGATCCGGGGGTAGGTAGGTAAGTGCCAAGTCGTTGCTATTCACAACCAAGTCACCACGATGCCAATGCTAGCCCCAACACTCGAAATCAGAATGCCGAATTTTGTATATTACCAAATATGCCTTAGTAAAACCGGCCATTTATGATAACTAATAATTGTATAAGTGAGGTTTTACCTTCATACTTTTGAGCCCTCGGTATCGCATCCAAAAGTGCCCAACATTAATTTCGTTCGTTCGTATAGCATTCCCAAAACGCCAAGCATGCCTTCCAAGACCCAGACGTACGGTCCCCGCCTTTTGAACTTCGCAATTTTTCTTCACTCGTCTCAAGCGTACCCATTTCTTATCGTAAGCAGTAGAGGTGATGCAGCTAGGTAGGTAGGCTGATTTAACTCAGCTTCTTCCCCATAAAATCTGCCAGCTCGTCTAGAAGCTCGACCGTCTCGGCCGGGCTCGCGATCCAGGCCGTGGTGGACACGCTGCGGGCCTTGAAGTCGTTGCTGCCGGCGCTTAGGAACTGGTCTCCGACATGCAGCGTCTGCTCGGGCCTGATCCTGGCGCTTTCCGCATCGCCACCGCTACCACCACCACCACCACCGTTCCCGCCCCCGTTGCCGAACCACTGCTGGCATACAGACACGCCCCAGCTCTTGTCGCCGATGTCGACGAAGACATCGCGGCCGCCGTTGAAGGCGCAGAAGGGCACGACCTTGTTGTCGAAGTCGCGGCCGCCGACGCTCAGCTCCAAGATCTTCTGGACGACGAGCACGGTCTCCTCGAGCGACTCGCGCGGGATGCGGACGGCCGGGTCGCGCGGGATGATGCCGACGGCGCGGTCCTTGCGCATCAGCGTCGCGGGAAGGTGCATGTTCTTGACGCAGTCGCGCAGCGCGGCCTCGGCGACGTCGAGCAGCGCGGCGATGCCGGAGTCGGACCACGACGCCATCTCGGCCGTCAGCCACCGCTCGCGCGGCACCGGCGACAGCAGGTGCGGCGACGTCGGGCTGAACTCGAACAGGTAGTTGGCCTCGCCGCCCATGATGACGATGTTCTGGCGCTGCTGCGGCGTCAGCGTCGTCGAGGAGGCCACCGCGTCGAGGAGCCCGTGCAGACGCGCGTAGTACTGCTCGCCCGTGGTGTAGCCGGCGGCCGTCACGATGCCGATCTTCACGTTCTTGCGCATGAGGTCGATCATGCGCGGGATCACCGGGCTCGTCGGCTCCAGGCTCTGCCCGTCTTCGTACAGCGTCACGTCTCCGTCGAAGGTGGCGAGGCGCAGGCTCCCGTGCGTGGTGACGGCCATGAGCTGGGCCGTGTTGAGGATGAGACGCACATCGTTGAATGAGGGCGAGACGAAACGCCGGGATGAGATGTACCGCTTGCGGTCTTGGAATTTGAAGGCGGCCTCGAGCGGAAGCCGGGTGAAGAAGTTGCCTATGGTAGGCACCAAGAGCTTGAGCTTGGAGGGAACCCTGCTGCCGTCTAATTGGTGCATTACTGTGGGAAAACGCGTCAATGAGCGGTCGCATAAACTGGTTCCGGGCGCGCGGGGAAGGAGAGGAGAGGAGAAGAGGAGAGGGATGGTGCGGGATGAGGAGACGAGGAGACATACACTGATCATCGATCATTACTTCGATGTCCCTCATGATCTCGGCATACCGCCTATGCGCCTCTTCCGACATCTGCGTGACGTTGAAGCCATTCGTCTCGAAGACTCCCGTCGGTTGAGAATACAACACGAAGGGCACAGCTAATAGGCCTTTGATCCATTCTGCATATGAAACAGTTAGTTATTAAAAGATCGATGAGATGTTGAATATGATAAGATTTATGAGATTGAGGATATTATTGTTCGTTGGGTAGACACATATCCTAGGTAGATATCTACTAGAAACCTCCTTATTTCTAACAATGATCACATATTCTTGAGTAGATGTAAACAATAAAGCAGATCGCACCTATGAATTGGTCTCTTCTGTGCGTCTTCAACGCATCTGTTACGTCCTTATTAGTGATTGGGCTTCTACGGCAGTAGATGTGGGAGACATAGTCAATTGAACTCACATTCCACCCTATATCTCGAAGTCATCTTGTCCAAACGTTCGATGGTCTCCGGATATAAATTTCTTCAATAGAGAATAAGTTTAAAGAACAACTAAGTAAAGAAATATGAAGCGAAACGGAATATATAGTCTCAGTTAAGGGGTACATATCAGTGATCACGAGGTCACGAGGTCAATTGAGTTGAGGCCCAGTTTAGGCCAGTTCCAGATAAGGTGTGGGGAATGGGGCGTCGTTGCCGCTAATAGTGGGCTACAACCTGGCACATCCAATGCCCTGGGAAGGTTGGAAGGTAGTTGGAAAGCCACTACGCCACAGCAATACCGGTGCTAGAAACTCATCCGTTGTAGTGCCATTCTAGTGAATGACTAGCGCACGACTTCGTGGCTTGGTATTGGAAGGTTTCCTAAGGTTAACTGCGGACTTCCCAACTTCAACTTATACTTGACTCACAATTATCATTCATCATCAAAAGCAAAGGCAATAGAATTCGCTTATTTATTACTGTTGACTAAAAGCATGAACATACAACTTTTGGTAAATGGAACACAAGACCATTTCCTCCCAACTATCATAGGCTAATTAGCCGATTTCTCTCGTCAGACCGCTGTCGGAGCTGGCACTGGAGCCGGAGTCTGACTATCGCAAGCTGCGGTGAGAGTCATAAGCCTGGTTATACATCCCGCAGGGCAAGCTGTCTGGCAGCCATCAACAAAAAGAGCCGTCTTGACTCCCGAACAGCCGCATGGCACAATCAACTCCTTTTGCTCCGTGCAACCAGGTACTGGGCAAAGCATCGGAGTACAATCGCTTGGCCGAGTTGTATGCGTCACCGTTGGGCAAGCACCGAAAGAGGGAGTGGGGGAGTTGCCCGGCAGTGTAGTGATGCTGATGATAAATGATGTCGAAGTCGAAGAGCTCAATGAGCTTGGGCTCAACGTTCTTGTTGGGTGCGGCCAAAAAGGTTCTGGCTCTGTGGGCTCCGCTTCGGCCACAGGACTGGCACCGACGATGCTACATTAACGTTAGCCTTGTGAGGCTCATCTTCAAGTTTGATTAGGGATTATATGATCTCTTACCTGGCTACAGCCGCGAGAAACCCAATGACAAAGGCCTTCATTTTGAGTGTTTAATTTATTTGCTTTTTCAACCAATCAGCTCCACTGAATTTGCTATAATGCAAATAGTCGCTCACCTGATATTCGGAGAGATGATATTTATGATTATGAGCTTTCGCGTTCACTGATGAAGAACAAGCTAATGATGGTATAGGACCTGATGATCAACCTAAACTCAGTCGCGGATAGAGACTATTATATACACGCGTCGTTTATCTATCACTATCTTCGATCTCTCATCTTTAAATAGTCTTGGACCTGCATGATTGGAGACCTCGCGACTGTCACCCGTTCAAGCAGCCATGCTCCAAGTGGGTTACCACTTCTTCCCTTGTCTTTTCCATCCTCCCGGGGCGTGTCATGTCTTCCTAATGCGCCAATGACTGCATACGATGAGACGACGCTTTCCGAGGTGCAGCTTCGAGGATCAGTTTTCACGGTACGGTTATATTAAAGGCTGTCTTGGGTTTTTCGCTTTGTGAAGGCCTGGAGCTATTTTCGGAATAACCTTTTTATATATTAGGTCTAGGCCATGGCCTTTACCCATGTTTCATCTTACAAGAGTGTTATCAAGCTTGTTGACGGCCTGTCCAAAATCCGGAAGAAATTTCAAGCTCAGTGATAGAGATGTTTAAAGCCCTTCGACATCCACTATGGTCATCCAACTGGACGGCCATTCCTGAATCTCTGTCTCTTATGTCGACGGATCTGGAGAAATGAGACAGCGGAAGGTATTGGTGGCATGATACACTATCCCTCAGCTCATTATAGCATGAGCGGCTGTCTCCTATCGTGAAGGGCCGAAGAGAGCCGGTATCCTGATATTGAGTCCTTCATCAGTGAGACTTCATGAGAAAAGTCACCTTCCTCTTCAAGGCCTTCCGAGAAGCAATTTTTGGCCAAGAATTGCTGGATATGACTAGAATCACAAGGTTGTGCGAAACAGCGGCTTCTATCCCCTGACTTTCACGCGTTCTAGGCTGCAGGATACTATGATACGCATATTGCCATAGGCAAGATGTGGCACAGTATACTTTGGCGAAGCCGAGGCTCAAGCCAAAGACAATTCAGTATTTAAAGTGTTGAGTAAGGGAACCTCTCTTATGATTGGTGGTTGCTGTCCAAGTCGATGATGGTACCGCCCCACAAAAACTGACGAGGCCATTCAGCCTCTTTACGGAACAATACCCGATGGCACAAACTTCATATAAGTTCATCTCGACGAACCAAAAATCACCAATTTGGGTTATCACCTCGATCACTCTAATATATATTTGATGGAGACGAGTCTCTTGTAGCGACAGCCTGCATGATCGGTTCCACGAGGGCTGCGAGATAACGAGACGGACGAGGCCGCTTTCTGGTACGAGGTACCCGTTGCAGAGGATCTAGCCCACGGCTTACGCAGACCACGAGGATTTCTTCTGGTTCCTGCAAGTCGAACAATCTTCTTATGATCCTGCGAGGTTTCGTCCCAACTTCTTAGAGCACGTGCTATTTGGTGCGCATGAGGAGTCCCGCACCTTTACTTAAGGTCTTTCATCTAAGACATTCACCTAAGGAACCGGTTTCCTGGTACTGATAATCTTTAAGAATAATTATTTTGCAGGTCATCGAGAGAGGCTTTACAGCCTGCTTAGGTGCTTCTTGGCTACTAGGTACAGGTAGGGAGAACATTTGCTCTTCAAAATTTCTGAATCTGAATAGGGTTACCCTTTCCCGAGTCTAGCTCAAAAGGGGCACCTTAGGCCATACCACAATATTTAGGTCCTTCAAGTTTTCTCTCTGAACCTTCAAATCAGTGTTTTCTTACTGAAACCCCCGTCCGTCTGACTATAAAGATAGGTTATCAAGAGAAGCTCAAGCCGAAAGCGTTCAATACTATTAGAATAGGTAGTTGATACTCAGCCATAGAAGTGGTATCGTGGACGCCACATCTGATTCGTTTTCATTCCTATTTCACTCCTTACTGCGAGGTAATGTATATGTAAGAAGGCTGTAGCTGTGCTCCGTAGGGCCCTAGCATAACAACTTTTATGTACCTTCACACTAAGTTAGATCGGGGTGTGTAATGTTGCCGACAATTCAAGTCAGTCTTAAAGCCAGCCCTCATTTAACCCGGACAAGTGGAATGAGCCGGGGTAATCAGAATGGAATAGCATAGAATACAGTTACCAAGTCTCAACACATTAGAAGCTTACTGGACCTCATTATATTATATATTAGCAGATACTACGCAGTTTTGCTATGTATGTACACAGCAGCATTGACTCGTCACTCATGAAATCTGCAGTTGTTCAACCTCGAGGGAGGCGAGTACGTAAGCAGCGGATCCGAGCACGCTGTTGTAGTTGATGGGCTGTCCGACGTAATACTATAACCAAAACGTTAGCCTCTCTTTTCGTGGAATGTCCCTAGCGTGTGTATGCGCGTTAGACGTCACGTCACTAACCTCGTAACTCGCCGTCGAGTTCAAACTGCACACCGACACGGTCCCATTGTACCCCAACGTGCCGTTCGCCTCCTTGACCAAGAACGTCTGCGTCAGGTACCCGTGGCCGCGGACGCCAACCTGCGTCGCCTTGGCAGCTAACGTGGCATTCGCGCCTCCCAGGTACCCCAGCCGCGCGCCCTTCAGCAGCGCGTACGCGAACATCGCGCTGCCGCTCGACTCGATGTAATTCCCCGCCCTGCCCGGCTGGTCCAGGACCTGCCACCAGCCGCCGGTCACGGGGTCGACGGCCTCGACGAGAGCGCCGGCCAGGAGCCGCAGCTTCTCGAGCACGTTGCCGCGCACCGTGCACGCGGACTTGGGCAGCGCCTCGAGCGTCTCGACGAGCGCCACCGCGTACCAGCCCAGGCTGCGGCCCCACACGTGCGGACTCGCGCCCGTCGACGGGTTAGCCCATACCGCCGTCTTAGAGGCGTCGTAGCCGTGCGCCAGGAGCCCCGTCGTCGCGTTGCGGGTGTGCGTCCACAGCAGATCGAGCTGGAAATCCACGTCGTCCAGCGCGGCGGTCGCGTTTGCGTCACTACCACTGCTACCGGCCGTGCCTACGGTGTAGACAGTGTAGAAGGGCGCGAAAGAGTACATGCCGTCGAGGTAGCTCCACTGCGGGTAGGTGAAGTACCAGAGCCCGCCCTCGGGGTTGCGGCGGTTGAGGTCGATGCTAAGCCGCAGGGCGTCGGCGGCCGGGCGGAAAGTGGACGTGCTGGCGTCGCTGGCAGAGTATAGAGATAGCATGGCGTTGCCGGTCGATAGCCGGTCCAGCGGGTACGCGAGCGCGTCGTAGCTCGCGTTCAGCGTGAAGGGGGCGACGGAGGCGGCGCTGCGCTGCACGTACGCGCGCGCGCCGGCCGTCACGTTGTCGTGCGGGTACTGCGCTACGAGCGCCGTGAGCGCGCGCTGCGTGATGCCCGCCTGCAGCAGCTCCGACGAGCCGCCTTTTCCTGTCATGATGCCCTGGCTGCGCGACATGATGCTTGACGCCATCCATGTCGAGTACTTCACCTGGGCCGCTGCTAGGTTGGCGAAGAGAGACGAGACGATGACGGCCTCTGCGAGGCAAGATAGTGTTGGGACCCTCATTTTGTCTCTCTTGATATCCTTGCTCCTGGAATGATTCGTCCCTTTTTCCGTGAAGTTATGCAGTTCTCACAAATCGATTGGGATTTGTCTTGCACTAGGCGGCCACCGCGAGGACGTTAGGAACCTTCGACCGGGCGGGATGCATGGATGTGCCACGGAACGTTGGGAAAGGGCGTTGTTGCGAGAAGATAAAAGGGGAAGGGAAGGTGAGTAGAAATTAATGTATTACGTGTGTTGGTGGTTTGTTTTTCGTCTCGGCCGGATCGCTGGGGAAATTGGCCATGCGGCACCAAAACTTACCAGCTCACCGGATCGGCGGCAGTGAGGCTTTGGCGACAAGGATAAGGACAAAGATCATCCCGTCTCGCTGGGCTCCGGAATGGATGCCGAAATTCGCCTTTTCAAGCCGATATGTTTGTATTATATTGTTTCTCTTCTTATAATTATCCCTAATGCATGTGGTAGTTAAAATACGGAAAGCTTTTACGTTTACTTATTTAATCTATCATAGGAGCTACGTTGATCATATTCCCGTCCGGGATATGCATTTGTTTGCTGTGCCTCTCGTTGGACCCATCAAAAGCTAGGGGAGATCATAAAGGTGTGGATATTATAATCATCGCATTGGCTCTTCGTACGAGAGAATCTTCACCGGTGCTTTGGGAAGAATTGATATGTACATCTCAAGATTTCAACAGATAGGATTAAAATCTATATACCTTGGTGTCTACCGTTACTCATTCTGTGAGAGTGCTCAGTTTACATTGTAAGCACCAGCTTCCCGCTCTTTGTTCCGCTACCAATCACAATCTAGGCAAACAACAACTTGCTTTTTATGTCTTCCCACCCTCCCACCTCCAAACGGCCTGCTATTATTCCGTCATTGTAAGACATGGAGGGGCGCTTTGCTAAAGGAGGGTGGTATTTAGAAGCCTTCCATGCAATCGAATACCTTTACCCCTCATCACCACTTCTTTCTTTCCAAGGGGTTGACGAGTCAGAGATGAGTCCGTCACGCGGGTGTTCTCTCTTGCAGCAAATAATTCGAAGCTCAGCCGTACGTAACTGCGATGGGTTTGCTCGTCAACCATCCACCAACGATGCCAATTCGCTTACTGCTGCATTGGAATACATACGAGGGAAAAGTGAGGAAAGACCCAAACATGACATTGCATTATAACACGAAATAGGTAAGAGGTAGCTCAAGTATATCCAGATCTCAGTAGGCGATGCCATGTTTCGGTATACAGTTCCATTGTTCTACGCCACAGCGTCGTTATGAGAACCCGTCCTACCTATCACATGTTCGATGGTAGCGAGGTGCAGAAGGCTCGCAGTGAGTGATTTTCATTATTCAACTATTTATATTCATAATCGTGCTATTGGTGGCTGCGTCGGGCGAACGCTCATTTTCCATCCATGTATCGAACTTCGGTAGCTCGATTTAGAATGTAACATCATGTTATATTATAGCTGTTCAGCAGGAGAGATGCGAGATGCTTCCTCCATTGAAAGTTGAAATGTTACCTTGCCTCGCGAAAAAGAATGATGTACAGAAGACAGCGTTACACTGGCGTTCAGCTCCCGCAAGCCTTGCCCTCCCTAACCTACGAAGCTAGCATGCAACATACCCGTTTTCGCTACCGCTGACAGCCGACCTGCGCCGATCGTGTGTGTATTAAGTAACAGACATGGGGTAGCTTTCGGTTTCTTAAGCTGAAACGGCTGTCCGGACGTCCCTCCATCTTCTTATGCTTTTCATCTATGTATTTCAATCTCCAAACCCCTCGGCCATCTAGCGATGTAAGGAATCATGTGTGCCTGGCTAGAAGTCATACCATTCGCCAGTGTAGCTGAAATGCTTATTTACGACTTACGTATTGTGTGGTTACAATCCAGAGAGCTGAGGCTCCCAAGGACATGTATCGTGAGATGGCAATGACTAAGTAGGACCTGTAATACTCCTCGTCCGCATCACCTCTCTTGGTGTGTTTCATTCGATCTATCAGTCATAATACACTGATTACTGAACTTGGATAAGTTACGGAGCGCCCCCCACACCCTCTCTTTAGTCTTGTCATCATATACTAATGCTGTTCTACGCCATCGATGTGCTTACAGCTTAGCTTACTGAGTTGAACGAGCCGCTTGATCCCTATCAACTACCAGGAACAAATATGGGTCATCGGGACGACATCATCGCGGCTATGGTGGTCTTCTTAATAGTTGATACTATCGCCATAGCTGCCCGCCTCTATGTTCGAACAAAGATGCTTACGCGGGGTTTCGGACTAGACGACGTCGTGCTCATTATTACATATGTGATCTCTCGCCTTTTCGACACCTGTATACTTGGAATATTCTGCTAACAGTGGTGCGGCTGCTAGATTGGGTTCGTTATATCCTGCGCCATGGGCTTCACGTCTATACGATACGGCTATGCTGCTCTAGACCAACAACCGTACTACGATAAAACTAAGGCGACACAGGTAAATGGTTCACCTGACCTGCTTGAAACTAGCTGAGGAACTGATAAAGTACTATTTACTTCCAGTTCTTATTCGCCAACCAGTTGGCACTATACATCAGCGCGGGTCTAGTAAAACTAGCTGTGGCATTGGTTCTCTACCGTTTAGCATCAACGAAGCACCTACGCTGGGTGTTGATAGGGTCTATGGCTATCGTAACTATATGGACTATAGTAATGACGATATTCGCTTCGTGGCCTTGCGCTCAGAGTGGCTCTAGTAACTGGGCCGGCAGTAAGGCATGTACGCAAGTTGGTTATTTCCGCACCATCACCAACATCTTCATCGACTATTTCTACGCGCTGTTACCGATATATATACTCAGAAAGGCTCGCATGAACACGAAATTGAAGATATCCGTAATCCTGTTGCTAGGGTTAGGCGCATTGTAGGCCCCAATTCCTTTTTACCCCTTTCTCGCATTTGTCTTACCCCTATATGGGGCAGATAAGACGAGACAAATCAACTCGTGGATTAACACTAACTCCTTTTATAGTGCAAGTTCTGCTACTATCGTCAAGCTGGTCATCATAGTTAGGCTGTCGACAGCCAAAGGCGAGGCGGCCCAAGCCTTACATTACGACCTACTCCTCTGGGCTGATATCGAGTTAGGGCTAGCCACCTTCGCGGCATCCGCGGCAGCCTTGCGACCATTGCTGAAACATATACCAGACATCTGGAGTAAGGCTCGAACTTCAAATAGCCACGGAACGAACGGGGCCGCTGGTCCCTATCTCTCGCTCGGCGTCAGTAATGAGATGCACCCAGTGAATAAGTGTGAAAGCAGGGCAGTCCACAGTAGCGACACGGGGGAACAGATATATGTTGTATAATTTCTCATACAACCAAGGTCCTATTCACACGTCATTAGTGTTAGTTATTAGCTTCATATAGATAAAGAAGGTTAAATAAGACTTTCTGGTTAGGCTCAGCCCGGTTTACCTATGGAATCGCTATATATGAGCCTATTTACTATACTATTGTTATGTAACTGCGTCTGTACCCCCCTATTTTATGTTGATAACCTCCATCAGTCCTTGAACACATCTTAAGAGGCGGTCCCAATATATCTGTAAACCAATCGCCCTCCGGAAGAAGATTATCCAATGAATGCTAGGGCTTCGGAATACGGGAATCCATATCCGTTAAGTAATTACCAATCTATTGGATGCAACGCTCTCACCAACCAGATAGATTTTGTATTTCAGTTTCATGGTTGACTGTTATAGGTAAGCCTCATTATATATAGCTATGTTATGCGCACCACTTATTCCCTTACCTCAGCATGTTACCACCCGATGCAAAACATTTGCTGAAGGCCCAGGGCTCGACGGCGGGCCACCGGATGGCCTCCGCGCCGCATTGAGGGATTATATTTGCAACCATGGACCTTGTCGTATCCACTCCCTTGGGATCAAACATCTCACCAGTCTGCTAGTCTTGCAAGCCTTATAAACAAACGAGGGTCCGGAACCATAGCTGTGGTACGATACCTACACGATCAAACCACCAAAGTTGACCAACCAACTTATATCTCGGCCGCTACCTACGGAACCTCTTCTACTTAAACTGGGAGAGTAAGCTTCATTTAATCCGTGTCTCAGCTTGGGGAGGACTAACCTATAGTTCTTAAGGCTGTCTGGGATCTCAAATGAATTACTAGTGCTTTTAAAAGTTCTTCAATGCCCCATCGTTAGCCCCTAGGATCACGCACGTAGAGTAGAAAAACGTTTCCGCTTGTCTGGGGACATGTCATATTTTTCTCGCTTACGATGGGTCGGGTCAGTTGGCCTGCTGATATTTCCCCTCGAGCGATACAATGAGGCCCAGTATATCAAGAAAAAAAATTGTCATGGATATCTCTGGTTGCCACGTTATGAAGGGATGGCGATATCGATCCAGATAGAGTATACCAAGTAGGTGAATGCTCGAGGGCTCGCTGGACTTGCGAGGTTTTTGAATGTCAACTTGTATATATCACTTCGAATCCTCCTTTCGGACGCAGAGGCTGAATGAGCTCTCGTGTGTTAGGCCTAATCCTAAGGCGGGAATCCGGAACCATGGCAAATTCTCAGATCGAGATGCCACAGGGACACGGAGTCGGAACTGAGGTATCTGCTGTGGTTCTCGGCGTCGTGTCCATAATCATCGTCACCCTACGACTCTGGGTGAGACTCAGGAACGGCGCGATCGGTAACGATGATTATCTGATGGTAGTGGCACTCGTGAGTCTTCGATCGGTCTCTAATTCATGGGAAAAGCCATGTCAATTTCAGTAATGATAGCTAATGTGTCAATGTTATTCAATATAGGCATTATTCATAACCTGTTGCGTCCTTGCCCACATCGGCTGTCTTTCGGGTCTCGGCGCCACAGACAAGGTCATTGTGCAATATGACCCAACAGGTGCGACGTACAAGAATGGATTGAAGTGTATGATTTCCCCTTCAAACTAGATTGCGACATCAAAAAGGCTTCAACTTACCTGTATTTTGCCCGTGTTCAGATTTCTTCATATTCCAAGTATTTTATATGGTATGTTCATTCATTCAACAATGATGGAATAATTGTCTAATATCACAGCGCATAGTTTTGTGTCCCAACCATTAAGGCTAGTGTCTGCGTCGCACTCCTACGTATAACAAGAGAGAAGCGCTTCGTCGTGCCTTTATGGGGCATTATAGCCCTCAGCTCCTTCGCCGGGATATTTGGATTCGCGTCCGTGCTGACGCAGTGCAAGCCCATCGCGGCTAATTGGGACTTGGACTTCAACGAGTGCGATGGGACCTTGCGCGTCGGCGCGATGTCTATTACCGTCGCGACTATTTCTATATTGACTGATTGGATGTGCGCGATACTTCCAGCAGTTTTATTGTGGAATTTAAATATGAGGTTAAAAGTCAAGGCGTCGCTTATTTTCGTCCTCGCTCTTGGTGCCCTGTACGTTACCCCTGAACCCCTTTTTGAAAATCATCACACTCTACAGATCTTCAAGATAAGAACTAATCCATATAATCATACAGAGCCAGCGTCTCTACATGCGTCCGATTACCTTATATACATATTTATAAACACATATACGTCCAACCTAGCGATGGACTTGGTAAGTAACCTCATTATAACACATTATATTCCCCGCGAGCATCTCCAATGATTAACAATGCTATAGAAAAGGCAGGAAACCTGATCGTCTGGTCTGTCGCAGAGTGCGGCATTGGAGTCATCGCAGGCTCCCTCCCTCCCCTTCAGCCACTACTCCGAAAATTCACGTACGGAACCGAAACGCGGCGCATGAAGCTCACATACTTCAACAATCGTCATGACCATCAGCTGGAAGTTAGCCCCTCCATAAGTCGCTGCAACTACCGACAATTCCCTCCTGCTACACCTCCCCCTGCCGTCCTTCCCCCTTCTCCACCCCCTCGGCCGGTACGGACGCGGAATATGGAGGCAGCTCCCCGCGGCAATACGTTGGTGACGACTTGTCAGGCGGATCGTCACCCGTGGGAGAATAACCACCAGGTCGACGAAACGTCGAGCCAGAAGTTAGTCATCGTCAAGGAAACGAGGATAGACATCGAATACAACCGAGCACGGCCTAAGTCTGGGCCTAGGCCTGGGTCAGGGATCTTGTAGTTGTACCATATACGGAAAGGGGTCTGGTAACGGGTAATATTGAGCGCGACATGGAAGTCGACGCCGCTGGACACATGTTTGAGATATCCGCGAGGACAGGTTCCGTTCTTTTAGTTGACTACCTGCCCATCTCCCTTTACGTGAGGAGTTTTCCGCTTTGGCTTCTCAGTTACTCGAATTATATAGCATCCGTGTCATATTTAGGAAATCCAGCAAATATGATAAAATATACGTAATGTTTACCAAGACCAAGCAATCTTCAATCATGCGACCTGTATTCAGCCGATCATCTCAGCCCCCGTCAAGCGTCCAACCAATTAGAACACGCAGCGACTTCTTGATTAGGAAGTCAGAGTCTTGGCGCTCCTGAAGGGCGCTGTCGTCCAATAACCAGACAGAACATATCCGGCGGGCGAATTCCTTCGAAAGCCCGTTTACGGGATTCTAAGCGGGAAGAAACCCGCCAGACGAACCTATTATTCAGCAAGGCCACAGGGCGCAAACATTCGACATAACATGGCAGATAGACGCTCACCCCAACCTAGATAGACTCAGCTTACGCTATATTACAAGAGCAGTTGACTTAACATTGTTCAAGAGTATAGGTTAATAAGCTAGAGGTTAGTTCCTCTTAACGCCGAAAGAGATGGATTGAATAGCCATCGTGGTCAGTTCGACTATAGTCACAAGTCAAACCAGCGTTCCTTATTTAAACATCCCTTTCTTCCTCTATACGTATCGCGCGTGTTCCCTATCCCTCGTCCACTCAGTCTTCCCCAGTCCATCACAGCAACCATGCAAACTCTCACCCTCCATCCAAGTCGAGAAGCTCCCCATACCCACCCCCGGCCCAACCGAGCTACTCATCCGCGTCAGCGCCGTGGCCCTCAACCCCGTAGACTGCATGTTCGCCGCGCACCTGATCACCACGCAGGAGCGGCGCATTCTCAGGACCGACTTCGCGGGAACCATCGTCGACCGGGGTTCCGCCGCAGACGCACAAAAGATCCCGGTCGGGGTGCGTGTGGCGGGGTTCTTGCAGGGAGGTAAGTTGGCCCCCTTCCCTACTCTGTAATTATATAGCAGTAGAAAAGCAACGAAAAGGGTATGATGAACTAAATTTCATGAATCCAGCGTGCTCCACAAACGCTTCGCCGAGTACGTTACAATCCCATGGGACCTCGTGTGGCGCGCACCCTCGCACATGAGCCTCGAGAGCGCCTCATCGATCAGCATGTGCGGGTAAACCGCCGCGCAGGCCGTCTTCGGGCGGTTAGGTCTGCCAATGTCCCTTTAGCACATCCTTTTCCCCCTCCTCCTCTACCTCCAACTCCACCCTCCGCTCTGGGGATATCATCACCAACCACACCCCCACAGACCCCCTCAACGTCTTGATTTACGGCTCCAGCACCTCCCTCGGCCTCTACGTCGCGCAACTTCTGCGCCTCACCTCCCTCACACCCACGTCCCCGTCCCCATCTCCGCGCCCCATCCGCCTCGTCGGCTCAGCCAGCGCTTTTAACCACATCCCGCTCCGGCAACCCCCGTACACATACGATATCCTCGTAGACTACCACTCCCCAACCTGGGTCGCGGAGGTGCGCGCCGCGACGGGCGGGCGAGGCGTAGATTACGCGGTAGACTGCATATCGGAAGGCGACACGGTGGCGAGTGTCGAGCGTACGTTCGGCTCGCGCGGCGGGCGGTTGGCGGTGATTCGGGCGCCCGCGAATGGTGGGTACGGTACGACCGCGATGCGGGTGAAGCCGGAGTACGGCGCGGTGTGGGAGGGGCTTGACGTCGAGGTCAAATTTTTAAACGGTATAGTTGATATATCCGTTCCCAATACCTACCATCCATTCTTTCGTTGTGTTGCCTGTCTCCCATGCGGATAAAACGCATGGATGCATTTACTGACTCCCAGGTAAGACTTGACCATACCGGCGAACCCGCGAGCCCGAGAATTCGCGGTAGACTTTTACAAGTTCCTGAGCTCGGGGGCTGAGCGCGGTGAGACCGTGCTCGAGCCGAATCCCGTACGGATTATGCCTGGTGGCCTAGATAGGATAGCCTCGGATGGTTTCGCGCTTCTTGGTTCTATACAAGTTAGTGATTGAGAGAAGAGTGGGAGGAGTGAAGACTATATGCGGCGTGTTAGCATGGAAAAGCTGGTCTATCCTCTGACTCTATAGGATGTTATATGACTTGGCCCTGGTACAGAGTTAGTACGTTTTGTTTTAGTATGACATGATAAATCGAGGAGCTTGGTTGTGCAGACTGCGGTGTATACCTATGTATCGGTTAAATATAAGCCCAACACAACTAGAAAGTGACATAACTTAGTAACATCACAGCCACTAAGTAGTAGAATCAAACTGGTTGTGAGAATTCAGGGCAAAACACGAAAGTTACTGGTCCCGTATGAATTTTATTGATGGCAGAGTACTTTTCTCGCCTTTTCAGCGCGTAATAACGACACCGGTATCGAAGTCGGTTTCTACTGCTCTACTTGTTGCCCGTCCGTTTCCTGTTTTATGCGACGACCTCTTCAACGCAGAAAATGCCATATTTCTAAACGAATTAAAAATTAGTATAGTTAACTCTAATATTTGTAAGCATTTCAACTTGCCTCCTTGAGCTCCTTAATCAGGGGACCGTTGATCTTGCTGTTCATCGGAGCGAGGACACCCTTCTCGGAGAGAGTTCCATCAAGAACTTGCTGGACAGCAACGGCGCATGGGACACCAACTAAATAAGGTCAGATAATGTCGGTCAATTTATTCAAGTTTAAATACTCACCAAGCTTGGCCATTGCGGAGTAGCCACCTGGTTCTGTGCTACCGTACTCACATAGAGTACTAGTTCTGGTCTGCCTGGTACCATCCTTCAACTCAATCTCGAACTTATGTTGCAGCCTTCGAAATATTAGCATCAACCCCAGGGAATACTAGCTCCACCATGTCAGGGTTGGTAATGATTTACTTACATCACGAGATCTCGTTCACCCTCGCCAAACTGCATCTTCTTCTCAAGAGTGGCGCAAAGGGTATCTAACGGGTTTGCTCGAGGGATGATCTTCATATTTGTGTTAGTAAAGCCTGATTATCAAAGATCGCACCAACTGCTGAGTTAGAAATTGGCCCTCATGAAGAGGTCCTTGAATAGATAAAACTAAAGAAAACAAGCATACCTTCTCGTCCGAGAAGAGGCCAATCCACTTGAGTCCGGCCAAAATTCGAGCCTTTTCGCTGTCATCCTTAAAGGTAGCTTTAGCGGTAATAGTCGAAACAAGATCCTTTTCGTCCGACGACGAAGCACCGATGACCTTCTGCGTGGCTTCCTTCCAGGAGATTGCCTCCTTGAGATAACTTTGCTCCTCGTCACTGAGGAAGCCAATATCGACAAGAACTTTGACGAATTCGGGGAAACCTGCGTATCGCAGAGTACCTCTGTTATATGATTATTAAGATTTTCAGTTGCCGAGTATCAAATCTAAGGGTTGTACCTGATGATAGTTTGCGCCTCGGGGATGTTGTAACGCGTCTTGTACGGGGTGGAATCTCTGTTCGGATACGCAACAAAGGCAAACCCTTCAGTCCATGTATGTCAGCGCTAGAGCCAGGAAAGACTCATGTATCAAGACATGAATTCGGTTTTAGAAGGTGCATTTAGTCATGTTGTGCATAATGATTTCTTACCTGGGTAGATGTAGTACGGCTTAGCGGTGGCCATTAGATCTAGAACCAGCGTATGTCAGTATTCATCTTTCTATTAAGATGTCTTAATATATTAAAGGGCGACCGTGAATTTCTTACCAGGGCCTGCAACGTTGACAACCTGACCGCCTTGATAGAAGCTGGCAGCATTTCTCAATGCAAGTAAAACTCCACGAGGAGACCAGGAGAATTTGTAACCCAGGGGGTTTCCAGAGCTCTCAGGTGCCGGCAGACCTCCACAGTAGGAGAGGAAAGATAGGATCTTTCCTCCCTCTTGGTGGACTTCCTCGATAGTCTTGACCGCATCTAGATAATGTCAATACCGTATACCCAATTCATATGATTCAAGTACTCTTACATAAATGATCAATACCAGGGTCTAAAGGACGATTAGTTAGTTTGCGATTGTCATTACCAAGGGGTGAGAAAGGAACGCACCCAAGCCAATCTCGTTCATGACGGTGATCCCAGCGTCCTTGCACTGTTGGTCTAGCTCCATCATGGCGGGGGAGACGTAGCTAGTGGTGACAACATTCTTCTTCTTGCGAATGGCTGACTTGATGACGGTGGCATGGAAAGTGTAGGGAATAAGAGAGATAACAACATCGACTTGGCCGACTTGCTCATCGAGAGCATTGCTGTCGTTCACATCTAGGGAGATAGCACGAGTGTTTTTGATATCGGAGCTCAACTTCTTGGCATTCTCAAGAGTTCTGCAAGCAACTATCACTTCGACACCAGAATCCGCGAGGATTTGGATGGTTGGCTTGGTAACAAAGCCGGCTTGAAATTTGTTAGATAAATGTATAAACCAATCGCATTACATGCAATGCCTCTTACCTCCCAAAAGGAGAGCCTTCCTGGGTCTCGTTAGCAACGTATTGGGGTAAAGCTGTATAGGAGGGGTAATTACTTAGTCGGAGCCATCTCGGTCAGTGATCCGGATGAAGTTGATCCAATTGATCGAGAGTATCGTATCTGAATATAAATCCAAATACTTCTTCAAATACGGTGTTGTTTGTAGTATTCAATGTTGTAAATTTTGTGCAAAAGATATCTTGCCCCACGTAAAAGTTGACTCCTGGCCGCTCCGATTGCGGGGTTCGCTACAGTCCGAATTTTACCCTCCGCTCTCCTGCGATCGATCGTATCTGCTAACCTTAATTTTTCTTCTTTTTCCTCCAGTGCTATCACCTTCTATCGTAAATGCTAGCTCGATGAGATCTTAATCATAAGCTGTCTATTATATACCATTGATGCTTGGTCTCTTCATCAGACAAATAATTGATCAATGAAGTTCTCAGCAAACGAAAATATTGGGTTATATGTACCAAACTGCATGGAGTTATCGCTATCCGCCTAGAAGTAGGTGGCTTGAAGCCACGCTCTCGTTTCCTACACCATAATACGCATACACGCTAACGGCTAGTATAGAGCTGCTGAGGAGGAAGTGATTCGGATATATCATCCAGAAGCATCAAACGGATACTAAGTAGGCTAGTAAGCATCGCGTGTCATGAATAGCCATGCCGTGCACAATCTCCTGTGTGGCTTCTCATCATGAAAGTAGCCCCTGTTCATCTACGTACGTTAATTCCAGAGACAAATCAAGGTTTTTGATAAACCAAAGTGTCAACACCGGATACTCGGCAACTTTAGTGGTACTGAGCGCGTTGATATATCGTCAGTTCAAATATACTAGAGTTGCTGTTTACCGCTGTACGGGAGCACCAGGAGTCTGACTAAATCAAGCATCTCGTACGATACGATCACAGCGAACGTGACCTATGTATTTCCTTGGTACATAGGTGAAAATGTAGACACATTGGGATCCCCCGGGTTGTTGCACGAGATCGCCTTTATGTATGTTTACCTAGCCAGCCTAGCGTGCGAAGCTCCTAGTTGAGAAAAGGGGCTTCGTACCTTGTACAATGCTGACCTACCTACCTAGGTACTCATGGTCAAATCTCATGAAAATCAATTACCCCATTCAAGAAATAGCTGCATGTTTCTACTCTACTTAAACGAATGATTTTCGTTAATGAGGCAGGCGGTGTATTTTTATTGAAGGTCGTCGCAAGGGATATCACGGAGATCTTGGGTCGTGATCGGATCAAGATCGCCAAGACGGATCCGACCGAAGGGGCTGTTCAGCGTTGCCGGGGAGACACGAGGCAGGGGACAAAACAGGTAATTGGATCGAAAGACCAAGTTAAGACGCCATCATCATCAAAAGCATTCAACTATTATAGCTATTATAAACATTCGTTAAAAGGCCATTTTCTGTTATTTATGCATGTGTTTCTGAACATTTACAATTATCTATGATCATATATATATCTACATCTTAGAATTCTTAAGGATTATGTTATTGACATCGTCACAAGTTTCGGTCCTGATCTCTTCAGGAATTGGTATGGGCGAACCCCTCCAATCTCAGAAATATCCATATCAAATAACAAGAACGATTGAACTAATTGATTTCTACATTGCCTAGTTGTCTTATGCACAGCCGCTTTATTTCTTAGCGGATATGTGATCCAGCAACGAACACTTCGCGATCTCCGATCAGCTATCAAAATCAACAGAGAGCCTCGACCGAGCCCGAAGATCTACTTACCCGATCGCTTTAAGAAGTCCACCACCGAGCTCGAGGATGGAACAGTGGTCGACTTGGACGATCCACGACTAGGGAGTCGCCGGAGGAAAAATACTGTTGAAGAAGACGATATTATCATTGTGCGACCCACGTTCCCGGACGAGAAGTCAGAGCAACAAAAGCCAGTTAAGGCGGAACAGAATAACGCTCATGGGGCCGGTGTGGAGACGCCGGATATTGAAGACGAGGCCATGAAGACGCCACAGAAACCGATTAGTCGGGCCGAGAGGAGACGACAGATAAAAGAGGAAATCCGACGCTTGTCAGAAGGCACGGAACGGGTTTACTACCAGAGACGACTGTGGTAGATAGACTGTGTTGATGTAGAGGAGAGATGATTTTTTCTGTATTGATACTATCTGGTATAGGAGTCATTTACCTACGAAACTGGTTAAAATAGGAAACATAGGGGCATTTTGGGTACGACATATAATGACAACGGTTGGCGGTCGTGGAATTTGTACGATCATTTCATGGAACAATGGTCAAGGTTTCTGGGCTAGGTCGACGGTTGGGTCTAATGATTCTGTCTTATAAGCACGTATAATTGCGAAATAGGACAACTGATCTAAACTACTGCGTTGAATGATTAATGTGATCCTATAGGCCTCTTCTTCAGCTATCCCCACTTGAGATACAGGTTAAGCATTCAACTCTATCTAGACTACTACCTAAAGTCATACCCCTTTTCAGGGTTGCAATGAAACAGTGTCATCTGAACCCGATTGAGAACTGAAGTCTAAAGGTTTCTAGCCAAGTCTCACGTCTCACGAGAACTACACTTGAGCAATTGTCTATTAAGCATTGTACACATAAGATATCCAACTACCTAAATAGGTGCATTCAAGTTGCCAACGGATAACCGAGTACGCGCGTGTAAAGTGGTAAGTGATCCTGAAGGTTACTGCCGAGCCGCGGGAGTTATCGTCCGTTCAGGAACGAGAAAAACCGGACTCTCATTAACTTCTTCATATGTGGTCCATCTTAATCTAGACCCACCAGCTTAACTAGAGTAGTGGAGTTATCGAGGCTATGCTATCACCGTATGAATAATTATTTAGTAGACTCCCTGTTTTATGTGAAGATGGCCAAGCCCTTGATCGGAAGTCTGGGGGCCTATTGCAAGCTTCGTTCATTCTCAATGGTGATATTCCAATTGTAAATGATGTAATATTAACCAACCTATGTAGAGAATGCTACATATACCTACTTACCTAGTAGGTATATGACAGCTTGTCGTTGCCAAGCTCTCTCGTTCATAGTTATTCCTAGCCATATAGGCTATATTAGGTACATATATAATTTGTTGGTTTTCTTATTTCACCTATAGGAATCCTTTTCTAGTAGTCCATTTCGTCATTCCTAGCCCCCAGCAGAAATGCAGAAATGCGGTATTATTGAAGGTGAATGTAAGCAGTGTAAGACGGAGTGTATGTACCCCTGTGCTTGAATCCCACAAGGTAAATACCCCGCTATGTCACTGTAATCTCTGGCCGATAAACCCCGCTGGCTACGAAAACTAGGACCGCAACCTCCGCTACGGGATAGCTCTCCACGAGATCACCTCCGTCTTTTAGGTAGGTATGTTAAACTGCAGGCTCTAAACGCCGTCGGTTTCTCTATTTACCTTCTAATATCGATGGATAATAAGACAATCGCAGAAAACCCCTGTTAGATCCAGTCACGATGCCCCTCACCCAATCACTTCGCGTGACTTTTCTATGTGGGGAATGATAAGATAAACTATAGCCAATGAGATAAGCTATACACCACTTGAGAAGAAATAGTGGGACTGCTGAACTGTCGTAATTCCTACGTGCGAAGTACCTACATACATACATACCTCATACATTATGTACATACCGTAGCCGTAATATCGGACTGAACTGTGCTGTTCACCTTCCTGTCCGACAATTTAGTCAATTCCCCTCTTCGTGAGAATATTATCGGTTCTGATATCGGCAACGTAAATAGCGTATACGCTTCACAATTTACAACAAAACATCTCGTTTATAAATCTCTGTATCACGATAAGCCTACGAGGCTGTTCTACAGGAGACACGGTTCGGGGGCTCACGGGTCCCACGGAATTGTCTATCGTGACGCAGGTCGGACTGGACCCTGGACGAGAAGGTCGCACGGCAGCGAGACCAAGTGTAAGACAGGGCCGGTCCAGTAGAAACCTGCATACTTCAACCCTTTCGACCCCATCCAGTACGACGGGCCTCCTTTCTCTTCCCGTCTCTTGTCCTCCCATACCTTGCCTATCCTAGCCAGTCCTCTCTGCAACGCTCACGTGTGCATACACCTCACACACCTCGACTTGCCCCTTCAAGGTTTATCTAGCTTGAAGCCAGGCCTTTCCTCCCACCCTTTACATATATCCCACACAACCTATTATAGGAGGGTTGTTCGACTTGGTGGTGTGCCCTCTTTCATCGTGACTAGAGTTCGTCATTGTGAACCCTACAACGTCGGTCTTTTTTAAGTCGAGCTAGAGTATCATTCTAAGACAATACCCTCCCCGGGGAAAGAGCTATCTAGTGCCGAATCTGTTATCGTGCTTGTTTGACTCCATGATTACGATTTTCTGAATCACCGTCTCTTGACTACCTACTTCACCATACATACCTCCTTACCTTACCTAGGCAATAAGGCTCTCTCCCTTTGCGTGCCAGGCCTGACAGATAAGGGAGTTGTAGGAACTAGATGTGCAAAGTACTCTCACCGAGTTTTCCTTCTTGACCTCTATCAGCCTCGCCTATTTAACCTATTTTTATTTTGTTTGCGTTTGCGAGATTTATCGTATCTTTGACGTCACGGTAAACAAACCAACACGATGGCTACAATGGCTACCGAAACCCTTCAGAACGGGCCCTCCCGCATAGAACGCCTGAGCGCCGAAGACTTCGAGACGGCGTCCATACGCTCGGCCGCCCCGTCTTACAGTGAGCCACATCTGCCAAACCTCCCACCAACATAACAGGCCACCATAAGCAGTAACTAACAAACAACCTCCCCCCCTCCTCTCTAGTCTCCGAAGCGCCATCCTACCACTCAACCCTCCCCACCAACGAAAGCGTCCCAGAGTACACTCCCCGCGAACCCGCAACAACCTCAGCCGTCCCCTCGCCTCCGCGCTACGCCGCCAGCTCCTCCATGCTGAACCTCTCCTCTTCCACACCGACGCCGACGCCCATGACATCCACCTTCGCCCCGGGCGCCGGCCTCCCGCGCATCCCCTCCCCGCGCCGCGACGCGCCCCGGCTCTCGCACTTCCAGATCCCGTCCTGGTCCTCCATGGCCAGCAACCCGACGGCGCGGCACTACCAGCGGGTCGCGCACCGGCGCGTGTCCGCCGCCGCGAACGGGGGCCGCTGGGGCGGCGGCGGCGGCGTCGAGAGCGCTTTGCGGTCCGCCGTCGAGCGCATCAATGCGAATGCTGCTGCCGCTGCTGCCGCAGCAGCGGCGGCAGACGATGCGGACGACCCGGATAAGGTGCGTCCGCTTGAGGACCCGTACCTAGTCGGCGAGGAGGCCGCGGCGCGGGCGCGGCGCGAGAGGTTGGCTCGCCAGAACGGGGATGAGGTCTTGTATCGCGAGGAGAGGCGGTGGGATTGGTTCCTCGGTGAGTTCTCTCTTTTTCATATTCTTTTATACGGCTTTTAGCTTGTGGGGGGAGGCGCGGAAATATCTGCGGCTTATAGGAGGTACTGGGGCTGACTGCCTATGGGATGTATAGGCCAGACGAGGGACTGGGACGAGCGCAACCGAAGCTGGGGCGCCTTCAGCACTACTATCGACAACCGCGGAAGACTGGCTCGCCGCTTCGGCCGATAATCGTCACTTTACGCCAGGTGTATACGAGAAGTGTGTGTGAGCTGTACGTGTGGCAGTGACGTCGATTTCGTCAATTCTGACTGTGGATTTTCAACAACCTGGACTGGTGATAGCTGCTTTCTGTTTCTTTTCATTCCTTCAGGGACTTTCGGGTTATCCTTCTTACACGCATTGGGCGGCGCTACCTGCTTGGCGTCAAATTGGGCAAAGCTAGATCGGATTAGGTGATTTTTTCTCATTTTCCGGATGGGACGGGATGGTATTTCGACGCGTGGGTTATTCATGTAGATGAATGGATGAGGTTATGAGATATGTCGCGCAGGAAACCATCCATTTTCTTCTTTCGATCCTTTAGGCTTTGCGGTAGCTATTCAATTCTTATTTAGTACCAATATAACACGATTCCGATCAGTTCGCCTATAGCTGAAGCGTGACAACACCAAGGAATTGCTTTGATATCACAAGATGTCTTGTTCACCAGTACGGGTTCTGAACAACTATCTGACCAAACGTTGACCTGCCAACTGTCAACGCATCTAATGGTTACCTTTAGTTCTACATACCCGCAAAACGCCATCAGCCATGCAGTTATTGATTACACTTTGCCTTTACAGACCGGGTTTGCCTATGCTTTCATATGAACATTCGGTTGTCTTTAAGAGTGAGTGGCGCTGTTTCGGGCCCAAATAGCTTAACCCTTGCTCTTGGTGTTGAGGATAAGAGCAACGATGAGACTATGCATAGTTAGCATCAATACTTGACAATGCCATGGACGATCTAACTTACCCATAGAGACCTAGGACTTCTCCGAAAATTAGAATCAGAACCATACCGACGAATATCCTCGATTGTTCCATGTATGCGCGAACGCCCTTGTCACCAACAATACCAATGCAATATCCGGCCGCAAGACCCGTGAATCCAACTGAGAGCCCACATCCCAGATGTAGAAAACCGCTATTGGAAAAGTTAGCTGCTTTGTAGCCCGTTACGTTCGCTCGGCGCCAAACTCGGATATGTACCTGAACAAGCTGTAGCTTTGTCGTGTAGGTGGGTTCATGTCACCGGCAATGAGGACGGAGACAACGAGCGAGTAGACGGCGATAATTCCGGACATGACGACCGGAATCAGGCACTAATTATCGCATCGCGTTAGGACATCAAGTACCACAAATATGGGATGAGGTCAACACAGGATAAACCTGGTTTCGTGCCATGACAAACCTTCATGATCAGGTCTGGCCTAAACGTGCCGACACCTGCAATACCAATTCCAGACTTCGCCGTTCCGTATGCTGCTCCAATGCCTATTTCACTATCTTAGCACACGTCTTCATCGCTATATAGAGTCCAGTTCAGAATTCGTACATCCGAAAATCATGGCGGCGGCAATACCGGCCTACAGTATCAATGACGATGTTAGTATGATCGCGTAAAGAGCTTCGTGGCCTACGGAGCTGAATCTTACCATGCCGATGAAAGGAGCAAACTTGGGCGCGATCTCCGAATCCATGGTGGAGACGCCTTCTCTATGATGAGGAATGGGTTAAATAAGGAAAATTTAGATGGGCTCGTGAATACCGCGGATCGTTGTCGCCGCCGAACCTGTCAAATCTCGAAATTAAGAGTATGAAGCTAGCTTTAAATGTAAGCTGCCTTGGATCCAAAGACCCTCGAATAACCTTAGCTACTAGGCCAGCGGCACGTGATTATCCAATTACATAACACTGAACTTTGTTACCCCTAAAACCAATCAAAGCCCACTTTCAATCTTAGCCCCATAAAAATACCTTATTGGACCGACTGCACCGCCGGCTGCGCCAGCTGCACCAACAATTGTGCATGATGAAGCTATTCTCTCGATCTAGAATTAAGCTTAAGAGGAATAAGAGAAATATGCAGAACAAGTACAACTTGATTTAAACCTGTCAAGAGTATGTAGAGCAATTGGTCATAGGTTAGGATACGAGCGAGTGCTAAGACAATTCTTGCGAAGTTATCGTATTCGTTCTGAGTGACAAGAGAAGCATGACCATAACCATGCCGTGCCATGCCCTCCCATGCCATGCCCTACGTTGAACGTTTCTTACTACTAGTGTAGTGATATCCATTTGATACTGGATACTGGAGTCGTCATCTAGCTACACCGATGCATGGGTATACATCCGAGCGCACGTGTATTTTAGTTTTTAGTATATTCAATCTTTAAGCGGTTGCCGTTAGTGCCGGAACCTACAATTTAATTGAATTTTTTCTTTTTGAGTTTTCAAGGTTGATGGACCTCTCGAATAAACTAATCGTACTTTCCAAGGTTCTGCAACCACAAGAAAACGTAGCTACGTAACGCGTTTTAAAACGATACTCAGTAGTACCGGAAATGTATCATCTTAACTGATCAGCATGCAAAACATGGTACATATGAGAGAAGACAATACTTAAGACACATTACCCATTACATAACGATTCCCGAGCCGACGATAACCCGGTTCCTTTAGTGCCATTAGAAAGTCTCCAGCACAATTGAAGCCGGGTCTAATTCAAGCCAATCCAAGCCTGCGCTCCTTGCACTTCTGATCCTTGATCATATCAATCAGCGTACAGATTACGGTACAGCGCCCATATTCTGCCCATTCAAATCCATCCTATTCTTACGTACACCCGAACCTCTCCTCCCTTCCTATCCTAAACCTACCACCACAACAATCACTCAAAACCCCATTCGATTCGATTCGATGCCGACGACGTCTCTATTGCTTTGCTTGAAAACATTTCCCGTCCTCGTGCCCGTCTCGAACCGCTGGCGATTTGCATCCAATTATTAAGTCCGCGGGAGCCTGGACTTTTGGGCCAGCGGAAGTCCAAGGAAAAATCTAGGGGGGGACACCAAGACAGGGAATCGGAGGAAGAAAAGATATCGACAATTTCGAGGATATTCGCTCGCAACATCCCCGCCGTCCACCATCGGCGGTGAATCCGTCCTCTGTGTCGGCCATCACCCCTTTATCTTCCTCTGCGGTCGATCCTAGTCTTCGTCTAGGCTCCCGCCCGCCTAGGCTTTTTGCGAGAGTAAGTGCCGTCATACGCTTATAACCCCCGTATACCCCTGGAATCTATCGACCATTGATACGAATCTGCACCTGCGTGGATGAGTGGTGGTGTTTGTGCAACCGTATCGGCACCGCCGTGTAATCCAACAGTTTTCTTGCATTTCATTATCGCTTACAAGTTTCTGGCGACGTATCTACCGCTGACCACGTAATCCCCCGTTTTCTTAGAATTCCGAGAATGGCTGATTATCAGTACGATCAACGCCGATACGGCCCAGCATCTAACAACCAGCGAGATGCTGCCTTTTCCAATATCTTTGGTTCTCATCCCCCACCCGGTCGAACTGGCACCATGACCTCGACTTCCCCGAATATGCCGCCGCAAGATGGAAGAACCCAGACGATGTCATCTATCTCTTCCAACATGTCCGATATGCAGCGCCGGCCCCCTCCGCGACCCCAGCGGGCAGGAGGCTACGAAGAGGCCGTAGCACCGCGAACTAGGACTATGGATACGAGTATCGCGAACGGATATTATCAAAGCCAACGCAATCCATCTGGAGGTTACCCTCAGGGGCAAGGTCAATATGGGAGGCCGCCGATGCCCCCTGGACCGAACCAAAGACCTTATCCTGGCCCGCCTCCGCAAGGCCCGCCGCAAGGACCTCCTCGGTTCGAATCGAGAGGGCCGCCTCCGTCCGGTTATCCTCCGCGAAATCCAGCACCAAGATATTATCAAGGCGGACCCGGTCCAGCCCCTGCTATGCGTGACGATCCTTATCGCTCTCAATCTCTCGCAAGCATGCCCCGTCAACCTATGTATCAGCCGCCGCCCGGTTCTTACCAATCTCCTCAAAATAACTATAGGCCTTCCCCGAATAACCCTATGTCTCGAACAACGGCACAAGGTCGAGTGGTTCCCGAACGTCACGATGACCGATCAATGTCTATGACTGGCTACCCTCCGGAACGCGATGCTCACCAGATGATGAGCGGCCGAGTAATCCCCAATCGCTCGAGGGCTCCCTCAAATGAGGCGCCTACGATGAATGGTAACGGATATCCTGGATACAATGGGTATGCTCCTGCCCCTGGGAGCGCAACAAGAACCATGAGCATGGCCTCGTCAACCGTTACAGGCGACCACAGTCGTACCATGTCCATGGCTAGTACTATTGTGCCGGAGAATTCTGAGCAGGCTCGTCAGCAGCTGGCGCAACAGTCGCAACAGCCGCAACAGTTAGTGCATCGGCCCTCTATATCTTCTAGATCGATTGACGGCGAACGACCTCCTACGGCCAAGATCCGACCACCCTTAGTATACCCTGCACTTCTCTCAAGGGTCGCTGAATGTTTCCGGCAGAAGATCATTACGGGCGAGCGAACGAAAAACGAGTTGACGTACAAGAATGCTTTCAGCGGTTCCGAGGCCGTCGATGTTCTATCGTATATCATCAGGACTACTGACAGGAACTTAGCTTTGCTCCTAGGTCGAGCCCTTGATGCGCAGAAGTTCTTTCACGATGTTACTTACGAGCACCGATTACGAGACTCGCAGTCTGAGATGTACCAGTTCAGGGAGACGCTAATGGATGAACCGGAGGAGAAGCACCCGGTTAATGGTGTATTCGTCTTGCTATCTGAATGTTATTCCCCGACTTGTACAAGGGACCAGCTGTGTTATTCAATTGCATGCCCCAGAAGATTGGAGCAGGTATCTCGACTAAATCTCAAGCCCCAGGTGGGATTAAGAAAGGATCAAGATGCTACCATCAACGATGACGCGGACCAGACCGACGAGCAAAAGCTCTGGATCAACACCGTCCCCAAGGAGATTGCCGAAAGTGTCGGCGACAGAGAAAAGAAGAGACAAGAAGTCATCTCTGAAATTTGCTACACCGAAAGAGACTTCGTCAAGGATCTCGAGTATCTTAGGGATTTCTGGATATTGCCGCTGCGCTCGAAAGGATCGCCAATTCCTGCCCCGAGAAGGGACAAGGTTGTCCAGAATATTTTCAGCAATATCATCGACCATCCAAGCATACATTCAGTCAGTTCTAGGTTTGCGAAGGCTCTAACAGAAAGGCAACAAAAGAACCCTGTGGTGAGGAACCTAGGCGATATTTTCCTGGAGATTGTCCCTCAGTTCGAACCTTTTATTCTGTACGGTTCCAAGCAGCTGGAGGCCAAGTTCGAGTTCGAGAACGAGCGATCCAGCAACCCTTACTTTTCTAAATTCGTCGAAGAGATCGAAAGGAGGAAGGAATCAAGAAAGCTTGAATTGAACGGTTATCTGACAAAACCCACGACCAGATTGGCTCGTTATCCGCTACTACTAGAGAACGTCTTGAAGTACACGGAAGATGGAAACCCTGATAAGGACGATATTCCGAAGGTTCTAGTCATGATCCGTGACTTGCTAAGCAGAGTCAACGCCGAGTCTGGCAAAGCTGAGAACCGGTTCAATCTACGTCGTCTACATGAACAGCTGAAATTCCGACCTGCTGATCGTGTTGACCTCAAGCTAACAGAAGATGGACGCGAGTTGGTTTTCAAGACCCAATTCAAGAAGACGCCAACGGATCCCACCGATATCACGGCCTTCCTATTCGACCACGCTGTTCTTTTAGTACGAATAAAACAAGTTGGCAAAGGGGAAGAAGTGAAGGCTTATAGGAGAGTAAGTTATAAGATATTATTGACCGCCCAAATTCTAGTCACTAACCCCAGCTTAGCCGATCCCGTTGGAGCTGCTTTCCATCAAGGAGATGGACGAGGTCATTCCCCAGTCGGGCGTAAAACGAGCTTCTTCCAATCTACCATTCCGCGGCAAGGATAATGATAAAAAGGCCCCAGAAGGATGGCCCATCACTTTCCGTCACTTAGGCAAGAATTACTACGAGCAAGTTTTGTATGCTTCGAATCAGACGGCAAGGAAAAAGTGGTTAGAATTCATCGATTCAGCTCAACAACGCCTCCGAGCACGGGCCGACTTCTTCAACGTCAACACCCTCTCTTCTGGTTTCTTCCAGTCTGGCAATCTAGTCAACACTGTTACGCCTTTCGGTACGCAATGCAAGACATTGTTTATATCCTATGTTTGCTAACGAGATAATAGATGGCGGTCGTAAACTCATATACGGCACAGATCATGGCATCTACGTTTCGGACCGAAAGGTTAAGGACCAGGTTCCTAAGCGTGTCATCGAAGCACAACACGTTACTCAGGTTGACGTATTGGAAGAATACGGTCTCGTGCTAGTGCTATCGAACAAGACGATGTCATCGTACTCACTTTCGGCCCTAGATCCGAATGAGCCAGCACTTGCGAAGAGACCAAAGAAGATCCAAAGTAACTGCAATTTCTTCAAGACGGGTATCTGTCTAGGTCGGCATCTAGTCTGTTGCGTCAAGTCTAGTGCGCTTTCGACAACGATTAAGGTGTACGAGCCCAACGATTCAATGTCCAAGGGTAAGAAACAGAAGGGTTTCGGTAAGATGTTCAACGCTGGCCAAGACGAGTTGAAGGCCTTCAAGGAATTTTACATCCCGACTGAATCGTCGTCTGTTCACTTCCTCAAGAGCAAGCTCTGTGTGGCATGTGCCAGAGGTTTCGAGGTCGTTTCGCTCGAAACGCTCGAAACGCAATCGTTGCTGGACCAGGCCGACACCTCGCTTGATTTTGTTGCAAGAAAGGAGGGTGTGAAACCGATCCACATAGAACGTCTTAACGGAGAGTTCTTACTTAACTACTCGGAGTTCTCGTTCTTCGTCAATAGGAATGGTTGGAGGGCGAGACCAGAGTGGCGGATTGACTGGGAGGGGACACCGCAAGCATTTGCGCTGTCTTACCCGTGGATCCTGGCGTTCGAGCCCAACTTTATTGAGCTTAGGAATATCGAAAGCGGTGCAGTCCACATTGTTCCGCATAAGAACATCCGGATGCTGCACAGTAGCACGCACGAGGTAAGACAGGCATTGATCATGGGGATTACAATATGTGCAATTGCTAACCATCGTCCAGATCTTGTTTGCATACGAAGACGAAGCTGGTGGCGACATTATCGCTGCTCTCGACTTCTGGAAAAGCACTCGAAAGTCGGAGCTGCTTGCTCCATGATCTTTACCTACTATTTCTACCATTCGAACACCTACGGCAGACCTTTTTCTTTCTCACTCCTAATCCGGCCTAATTCTTATTTGGCCAGCTCAGCCCAAAGGCATGCATGACCAGGGGAGTACTGGATAAGCAGCAGATATCCACACATGCGGCGGTTCAGGGGCGTGCGCGTCTTGTCATTTACTTACTACCCGGCCAGCATATTTCTTTTTCCTTTCTAACCCTCATAATTTTTTGAGAATGTTCTTCAGTAGCGAGGAAATCGTTTTTTAATCGCCTTAAGCTTTCCGGATTTTTTCTTCTAAAAAATGGTCGGCCGCGGACTTTTGGATCTTTGCTGGAGCCTAGGCAAATAAACCCTTCTTAGTCAACTATCCGACTTGTTTGTAGGTAACGAAGGAATTTTTTATTTCCCCCCCGGAGAAGGAGACGGAGGTGGAGGAAGAGGAAGAGCCACACGATATTTGGCCCGAAAGTCTGCGACCGCACTGGGTGAGTGGTGAGTGAAGCTTAGATCAGAATGGTGCGACGAGCGAATAGCAAGCGGCTCGTCAGCACGCAAGATGGTAAAGATAAGGGGAAATAGGAGAGAGTGAGTGGAAGTGAAGCGAGTAAGGGACGAAGAAGGTGAATTGCGGGAAGAAAGCCCTCGGGTGATTAGTGATGGTGCAGGGAGGATGTTGCCTAGAAAGCTACCTATCTAGTAGGAAACCCCTACCGTAATCACAAACAGAGACCCGATGATCTTTGAGGCTTAAATTCTTTTGTGGGCTGTGAAGAATTTGCTTTGGTATGTTGGTTGTATCTTCTGGTGATTGTTCTTGTGGTCTATTCGACGACTTGAATCGAACTTAGTCTTTTTAGAAGACTAGTAGGTAGGTAGGTAGGTAGGTATAGCGACTCTTATCAACTTATTACGTGGTCTTCTCTTACGATTTAGAATTATTCGAAGCTAGACTAAATCGAATGCGTTTGATTCAATCCGGAGGCTTGGTTGCCGGAAAGGCGTTGAAAAGCTTAACGCCTTAGCCGTTGATAATTCCATGCTCTAGCAGCTAGATACTCGAGAAAGGACGTTAAAGTCAATGCTCTTGAGCTCCTATTTTAGGAGAGGATAAGATCTACGATCTCCCGATGATATGGGTGGGTAGAGAGCTAGCTAGCGCAAAGCTCTAGGAATAACGGGTAGTAGCTTGGAGCTTCACATGCTTATCTTAAAGCGGCTGGAGGTGGGAGGTATGTATGTATGGGGAGGTTGATAAAGATATAAAGGGTTGAGTTTGCTAAGTTGGAAAACACGAGGTTCACTGACTCAGACGTTCCCTTCTCCTCGGCACCTTATCCGATAGTTAAACGACTAGGCTATTCGAGTTGTCTGATCTCGTACCTTGCTGGGCGTAAATTATTCAGGCCGCGAGCAGCTACGGTACCGAACTTTAGTAATCAATTTACCTGCTAGCCCATGTGGAATTGTGCGATGGTTCCCATTCGTTCTTCTGTCTTGCGATTAAGTTTAGAATGGAGTCTATTAGGTACGCTGTTACGCTAATAGTACACGCGGCATGCGGGAAGTGTAAATGGCATATCAAGAAAAACCTTGAAGACTTTAGACTTTTCAACTCAACCGCTGTGTCGGGTCTACTTGTTTAGACTCTACTTGTTGTGGGGAGCCCAGGTGCTACTGATAGACGATCCTAGCACTATATGACAGATCTTCATATTTATTCGTAGATGTGCTTGACATCACGTTACATCATTATCAAGCTAAGGTGAACATCACTCTTAGATCAAAGGTGAGCTAGATAAGTTATTGCGGAACGTGTTCGAAGGTCGATGAGTTCTAGAAGAGTAGTAGTATTACCCAGTGTTACTCGGGTACTATACACCGTACGTGGGACACGGAGCACGACATGTATGATTTTCGATGTTCTGAGTTTCTAGATTCGACGGTTCCACTTCCAAACACTTCTAAATATACTTGAAGAAGTCGCGTGGTGAAACCGTTCGAAACGCGGCAGGTGCTAGCACGTATTAATGCCTACTAGGTAGCCGAGAATGAATTTGTCTGAACTTTGTCAAGGTTCTAACTTCTGGTTCTAACTTCTCTATGCGGGCGAGAGGAATAGGATGGAAGGGGGAAACGAAAAATGAAGAATCGCATAGGTAAATCAGACCCGAGCTATATGTTGTGCGTATTCCAATATAGGCATGTCTATCCAGTCGCGATGTTGCTCATATCTGAGCTCTTTAAGTATGCTTTGGTAGGTCTGCACTGCATATGGTGTCCCTTGCGGCCCTTGCGTACAAGAACTGATAACGAACATCCATGGTGGACGGCGTACAGAACAGGAGCTTGGCAAACAATTGAATACCAGACCTAGATGCTATGCGTTATGTACCATATGAATGTATTTATACACGTGCATGCTGTGTACCGAGCTGTCGGTGTTCAGGTGCCTTCTCAGGCCACTCCTAGGCTAGCCCGCGGCTGCATGAGAACAGGATGCAGCGGCGTGCGTAGCTCAGGTAGCTGTAGGTTTGAGTTTGCGCGAGTCCAGAAAACCGGGAACACCTCGGGCAGGTGGAGCCGCAACGTACACGCCCACACAACCCACTAGCCCATTTACACACCCCCCCAGGTTTTGAGTTTGGACGGGACAGGGTCCGGTTCGATCGGGGCTGGTCCTGGTTTTGGGACGCTGTGGAACGTTTCTAAAAGTATGGATGTATGTACTACCTACCATATGAAAAAAAGAGAGCCTGGAGCTGAGCAAGCCATTACCATTACGATCTCGGAGCTGTCGGGGGTGGGTCGAATTGAGCTTTATCTCTTTGTGCTACGTACATGTAGTGATGTACCCTATCGAGATGTATTACCTCAATATACAACACATATGGTGGTTGCGACACTTATAAGAAGGCGATCTCTTCCCTCCTTCTCGTCCTCATATCTGATCCTTGTGGTTAAGTTATATTCTTGTATTTAAGTTTGATCAACAATTCTATTCTATATCGTTGTCACGTTAATTGTGATTATCTAGATATAGTGTCTGCTTTATCTCAGACGAGAGTCCATCACATCCTTCCGCCCTTCACTTTGCGGCTTTCTCAACTTCTATCATCTAGACTGGTATTTTACTATACGCAGTACCGCTCGCCAATATGCATTGCTATTGTGCAAACTACTATGTAAGTAGTTTCTAGGATTCCGGTTTCGTAGTCAACGCATTCTGTTCTGAGAACTAACGTCGATGAAACAGGGGGCAGTCCACTGCCAAAACAAAGTCACACACTTCGGACAGCGATGTAGATTATGCACAGTATGTCGTCTCCATCGACCCGATCACAATCGTGACTACTTAGGTATTAACATATGAAACGCAGGTCCTGAACGAGGGAACTCCCGCCAAGGACGACCCTTTCAAGATCGCCTCTAGCTACTACAACGAAGATAGCGACGCCATGGACGACTCGAGCAGGGAGGAACGCAGGCGCGGACGGACGATCATGAGGGAACGTAGCAAGAGTTCCTCCAAGTGAACTAAATTACCGTAATACTCAGATGTATCACGAAGACAGCATGTATTAGCTTATGGCTTGCTTGCTTGCTTGCTTGCTTATACATGGACTTATAAGAGAGATGAGGGGAAAAGGACCCTGCATTCACTTAAGACGGAAGAGTGCGGACGGGATAGTCCTCAGCTCAACATTTCATTAATGGACTGATAGGACCTGAGCAACTCAGCTTATAGAGACAATGAGGTCAACTACGTTAGAAGAGGGCAACAGTTACCGAATTGTCTCAAAAAATCTTTCTCTATAGAACATCACCGGCGTTAGGGATTGGTCGTACGGGCACGTACTAGGCACGCATTAGGATCGATCCTTCGAGGAGCCCACGGGATAAGGCGATGGGGGTTTCTGGGGAATCTGGGGAGGATCACATGGGGAAAGAAGGAAGGAGTCTGCGCATTTTACCTACCTTTCTAAGTATTTACTTAATGATTACTAAATACCTAACGATATCTTGTCTCATATTCCTAAACAATAGTATTGTTATGAATAATCGTAAGCTAAAAGGCCGGAATTTCGCGACTTTCACATGCGCTGTGCGATGCGAGCTGCACGTGTCGGGGACACTATGATCGTTGGGAACGTGCTACTGTTGTTGTGGCTGTCGCCGTGGTACAGCTAGTTCCGTGTAAGTCGAGCAACAGCAATCGTTCGTCGACACCGGTTCAACGTGCCCGGGTCTATATACTGTAAATGGAATCCCGATGGTGAGTTCGGTCTAGTCCGGGTCGACATCGGACAACCTAGAGAAATGTGAAGATGATGTGATGAGATTCAATTTCTACCTTTCGGGGCAGGTGTAAACGCAATTTTAGTCATATGAAACAAAATGAACCTGGTATCATCTCTAATATGCCCCAGATACTCCGGAAGACACCGTGAACCTCCGCGCCCATGCATCATCATACAATGAGATCGACCGGCTTCCAGCATTTACATATGTACACCATTAAGATCCTTGAAGTCGTCTCTATTCTAACGCCTCGCACCTCAAAATAAAATAAAAATATGCAAGGAAAGCTCCAGGGGACAATCTCTCCCGCTGGGTTCGGATCCCTCCACGTCCGGGAGTCCTTAAGCCACCAACATACGCCACCGACGTAGATCACCCGCGTAGGCTCCCGCTCCCGGCTACCCCTTACTTGTGACCCTGCAGATGCCACTCAAACACCTTATTGAAGACCTCCTTGGCGCCCCCGACGATCGTCTCGCCGTGACAAGGAATAAGAGTGTCGAAGTCCCAAGACCCGATCCGCTGGATGCTGCGATTGAAGCCAGGGCGGTCCTTCGCCCCGTTACTAATCGCATACCACAGGAACCGCTTGACCCCCTTAGCCTCGCCGCTCGTATTGCTGACGGACTCAAACATCCTATTCAGGAGCGCGTGCCCGCCCTTCTGCGCCTCGGGCACGCGCGAGTACTGCTCGATAGCCGGCAGGTTGAAGACGAGGTCGGCCTCGATGAGGACGCGGTCCGGCTTGTAGAGCAGCACGACCTCCTTGTTGGGGTGCGCGTCGACGTACTCGACCTCGAAGTCGGCGGCGAACTCGTCGCTCACCGCGTTCGAGCTCCGGTTCGCGGCCGTCCACTCGAACGCGAACGGCTCGTGCCCGATCTTCGGGTCGTCGTGCACCTTCGCGCGCTTCTCAGCTAAACCCTGGGGCCCGAGGATCTTGGCGGAAGGGTAGGCTTTCGCCCATTCCGTGATGAAGATGTGGTGCTCGATGTCGCCCGCGATTATGTATCCGACGTTCCCGCCGAGCTCGCTGACCTTGGCTTGCACCTCGGGGGTGAGGGCGACGGGGGAGAAGACGGCCAGTGTGCCCGAGGTCAGGCGTACTGAGGTGGGTGTAAGCGGTTGGATGACTAATGCATGTAGCTTAATAGAGATTGGATTGGAAGTTGCTTACTTATGGTGCCGCGACCACCGACTCGGACGATGCCGAACCGGGCAAATGGTACGGAGACGGTCACGACGTTAGGCGTGACGGTCCGGATGACGGCTACGTCAGATGGATTGGAGGGAATGAGTTTGGAGGACATAGTGAATGTTGATATAATCCTTGCTTGAGTACCTGGCAAGGCTCGGGAGATCGTCCCTTTAAATATGGCTATCTTATTGCCAAAATTGATGGTTGCTGGCGTCAGATGACTTTTAAATATTGATCTGGGTTGATATTGAAAAGCCGGAACGTGTAAGACAGAGTGGTTGTAATATGAAGGTCTGATGATGAATTTCTGCGTAACTCGAGATGTCTTCGACAACGGTCGATTTATATTCATTCTTTTTAAAATTTCAAACCTTGGGTGTATCGCCTTATCCGGGGTTCGCGGATACTACTTTGCTTGACCGACCCGAAGCTATAAGGTCCCGAATCCTAGGTAGAGGGGTGATGGGGGCAATTATTTGGAATTCCTTTACGTGCGTATGTACCCAGGTAACTGGCAGGTGCCTGGTACTAGGTAACAATCGATTTCATCTGAAAACGTGCTGTTTTGAGCAATGATCCTATTGTCCTTTGTTGACATACGTATGACATCACGAATCTAGAGCATCTGAGCAATTACAAATTTCAATGGTAGTTACCTTATGTAGGTAGTACCTATTTACAGCACCAGTTCATGCGTTGTAAGCGCCTTTCCCGGGGCACTGCGACGGATTCTAGTGGCAGTAGTAGGGCCAGCACCGGCTCGGAAATTGCGAACCGCGGTAAAGCAGGTACGGGTCTTGGTATGACAGGTACCATTCAGGCTGTCAGGTACACTTGCCTAGGCACTCGGGCACCTGAAGTTAGCAGGGTTATGTAATATCCACAGCGCTTATTTGATGACAAATACCTATTTCGTATTGGTAGTGGACATTTTGTTTTGTGTTTTCAAATTCTTAACCATAAATCCAATATATTCATTTACTATCCAGCAATTACGAAAATAGAAAATCAAATTGAACCCTAGAATCTACCTGCATACACTAAACACTACCTAGCCAAAGAGAATGTTCTTTCGAGACCACCGTAAAATGAAATCACCTAGAGCGTGGACCACTTCACGAATCCGCCAGTAAGGATGATGGCGATGAGTTCCCACAGCACCACAGTGGGTGGCCACTTGAGAGAGATTGCTACCGCCTCCAGGGCAGTGAAGAAATACGACCTCTTGACAGGTTGATTGGCCCATTTGAGCAAGCCCAATTCGCGACCCGACGCGACCGACATCATCATGAAGGTAAAGCATGAGATTAGATTCGATGCCAGTCCGAGCTTGTTTTCTGTTAATTGTTCAAAGTATCCTCTGTTTGCCCCCGAGAGTCTCGGCACTGGCTGCCGTGCTGCAGCGATTTCCGCGAGCCTCTGTCTTGCCCGGTCTACTTCCTCGTTGGCCTCCGCCGCCCTCTGCGCAACTCTGTCCCGTGCCTCTTGAAACCGCTCGACCGTGTCCCGGAACCAGGCAACTTCTGTTTGGAGAGTTTTGATGAGGCTGGCCATTCGCTCGATCTCTCTCTGCAGGCCCACCACTCGTTTCTTGGCCACATTCGCCTCGGCTGAGGCGGGGTTCTTTTTGATGTCCTCGTTCATCTGACCGAGTCTCTCAAGGTACTGTTCTCTAGTTGTTATGTTGGTCTGGATCTCCCTGTCGAGGTCCGCCTGAACCTCATTAGAACGCTCTTGTAATCTTCTGAGGAAGTTGTCGTAGTCCTCTGTCATGTCCTGACCGACCGTCTGCGACCTGGTAAGGAGAGCATCGTATTCGTCTGTCAGTGCCGTCAGTTGAGCCTCTGTTCGCTCATTCTGCTCGGTTAATTCAGTAATTCGTTCTTCGAACTTTTCACGGACTTGGATGTTCTCGGCGACGGCCTCCTCCATCTCCAGATTCGTTTTCTGTAGTTCCTGAACTAGTCTCTTGATCTCGTCGTTGTTGGACGGGACCCTTTTAAGCAAAACGTCGTAGTCCTTGCGCAAGGCTCGGAGTTCAGTCTTAACCTTGTCAAGCTGTTTCTGGAGGTCGGCTTTTTCCCTTTCGCATTCATCAGCGTCCGCTCCCTTGGCACCCGTGCTGCTCCTGGCATCTTGCTTCAACCGTTCGATTTCATCCTCTAGTCCCTTAATTTGCTGAGCTCTGGACTTCAACTGGGCTGCTAAGTCCCTTTCACGTCTTTGGAGTTCCCTTTCGTTGCGTTCGATAGTCTGAAGTCGGCTTATTTCCTTGGCATTGTCGGCGGCCTTGGATTGTGCCCTTCTGAGTGTGACTTCGAGCTCGTCGCGTTCTTTCTTCAACTTCTCCAGATCGCCTGTGGCCTTGTCTGCCTTTTCCTTGACTTCGTTTTCTAGTTCTCTCACTCTCTGGTCTGCTTCATTCTTGGCATCCCTTGAACTCTTGAGATCCTTCTCTAGTGTCTCGATCTTGGCTCGAGTTTCGGTCAATTCTCTCTCCAGCTGCTCAACCTGCGCACGCAGGGCGTTATTTTCGTCGGTTAATTCTTCGATGGTCTCATCCTTTTGGCTAAGCTGTAATTCGGTATCCAAGGTCCCAGCCGGACCAACTGCTGACGTGTCCGACTTGCTACTCTTGCCTCTCGTACTAACACTCCTCTTAGTATACTCTTCTATGTCCTTTTTCAGCTGATCTATAGCCCTTTGTCTCTCTTCTGCTGTGGCTGTGAGCGTTCTCGCCGCCTTCTCGGCATTGTCCTTCTGACTTTCTAGTTCCGAGATTCTCGTTTGCAATTGCCGGATGATCCCGCGTGCTTCGCCCAAATCCTTATTCTTTTGGCCGATTTGAGCTATGAATTTGTTTACATCCCGGCGTTCCTGGGTTATACGGGTTTCCTTGTCGCTGATCTCTGTCTTCAGTCGAGCAATTTGCTCCTCAAGCTTCTTCTTGTCTTCCGTGAGTTTCTGATGACTTTCTTCCAGATCTTTCATGTAAAGCTCCTTAGTCTCATCGTCTTCTTGATCTTTGAGCTTTTTCTTGAGATCTTCGACCTGCCCTTTTAGTTCGTCAATTTGATCATCCCTAGTAGAGATGTCTTCGTCGCACCGACGCAGAGTAGCTTGGTGGTCTGTGGTCAAATCTTGAACCTGCCGAGCGTAACTTGCCTCAGTAGTTACAAATTCTTCCTTTTCTGCCTTTGTCCGTTGCTCGATGTTTTCCTTTTCGGCTGTCATCGATTTAAGTTTTCTCTCGACATCTCGGCGGGTTAATTCGGACTTCTGAAGCTGATCTTTGAGGATCTTTTCGCGGCGCTCGGCGAATGGTACCACCACCTTGTCACAAAGAGCACGGAGAATGTCGATGGTCTTTTTCTCGTCAAATGTTGGATTGATCGTTACGACCTTTTGTGTATCGACTAGTTCTTCGACGATGTGTTTGGTGATGTAAGTGAGGCCCGTGTCCCAAGAGTTATCTTCGACTGCTGTCGCCATGACGACGCTGTTAGCTCTTTACGAGAGGATAAAAATTTAGGAAATTCACGGGTACGTTTTGGCGCCCTAGTAAAAAGCTTATCCGAGCTTAGCAGGACTTTTGTCCACATATCGACACAAAGAAGTCGAGGTTACGAGTCTGCGTCCGGAGCTAAACCTTGCATCTTTGTGTATGTTTGTACGAAGATCAAGGTAACTAGGAGCTCCTTGGGCTACAATGCAGAAGCGAAGGTACCTCGCTTGTTCTAACAAAGCTCTTGATGTATTCTCGAATCCGGCCCCTTTTCTTTTACATCTTCATTAGGTTGCCGAAAACGGACAGTCATTGCATGTAGGATAATCAAATGCTCGCAGGACCACCAACAGATTAATGCTTATATGCTGCAAATATCGAGTTAATGCATGAAATTATGGCCAGTGTCTAGTTTCGCAGACATAGGCTATAGATTCAATTCTACTCATTGTCAATTTACCTTGGTAGCTACTCTCATCACTATTACCTAGCTCCTCCTCTACGGTCTTTTCTTTGTTAGAAGCCATTCTTTGGGGTATGAAGCGGACTATCCCTAACGGATTCTATTAATCAACCCAGAGAGACCTAATATTTGTTTCTGGATTATTTTTAACGTATTATTTCAAAAAAATCATAATATTTCAAATATTTAGTCTAGAAGAGGGGAGGTTATCGGAAAGGTGATGTCTGACTACTAAAGGGGCATAGCAGTTGGTACCACAACGGAGACGGGAATAACAATAACTACCTAGTACCAGGTAGGTTAATGAAATCAACAACTGGTCGGATTGAGCAGTTACCACATATGACCAAAATATTTTCTGGATGCTGGGTTGTTAGTGGATAGCTCCTTCTGAATCACAAGTAGTTACGTCACCCGCCGTCATAATTTAACCAACTTTCCCAGTCAATAGTAACACAATTACCTGACAGCTGCCCAAGCCCTTTCCAGAGAGCAAGAGTTATCCACGTAGAATAAAGTTATAAAATGACCTCAAGTATTGTTTTTAATAAATCTAAAACTAAGATCTTTAAATTTCTTGGCTTCAACGTCTTTGAGTTATTGACATTCTGATTACCCTCACTTCCAAGGCCTGACTATCAACCACTATGACGTTAGCTCGTCACGTACGTAGAGATATATCTCACATTGGAGTGTAACTAACGACGTTGTCTATAGATTGACCCAGAGGAGCTTGTAGAGCGTCTGCACGATGCTCACCTTACCGAAAATGGCCGGCAGCTTCGACAGAAGATGACCACCTCGCATATCACGCCTTACGGAACCAAGTACGCGAGTGAGACAGATGTGCCAAAGTATCGAATTCCCAAAGAGGGTGCGCCCGCAGATACGGTGTACCAGTTGATACACGATGAGCTCGACCTTGACGGCAGACCAAACTTGAATCTTGCCAGGTAAGACCATGCCTACTCTAGGAGACTTGAATGATGGAAGTGCTTAACTGGTGCCTCAGCTTCGTTGGGACTTATATGGAGCCGAAAGCGAACCAACTGATGACGGAAAACCTGTCAAAGAATCTAGCAGATAACGACGAGTACCCGGCTATGATGTCCCTACATGAACGCTGCGTCAGCATCCTCGCTCATCTTTGGGGAGCCAAAAAGAGCGAGAAGGCCGTCGGGACCGCCACCACCGGCTCTTCGGAGGCCATTCACTTAGGTGGTTTAGCGATGAAGCGTCGTTGGCAGGAGCATCGCAAGGCCAAAGGCTTGGATGCTTCAAAACCGAACATCCTTATGGGCGCCAATGCACAGGTCGCACTTGAGAAATTTGCGCGCTACTTCGACGTCGAGGCGCGTATTCTCCCTGTCTCTAAGGAGAGCAAGTATCGCCTAGACCCGGGGCTCGTGCGGAAGAACGTGGACGAAAACACGATTGGAGTGTTTGTCATCATGGGCAGCACCTATACTGGTCATTACGAGCCGGTAGAGGAGATTTCCAAGATCCTTGATGAGTATCAGGAGGAGACGGGTATTGATATCCCGATTCATGTCGACGCTGCCTCGGGTGGTTTCGTTGCGCCGTTTACTCATGCACAAGCTGGTGGGCCGAAATGGTGAGTACATCATAACGAGGAAAACTCATATTCAGTAGTCATTTACTAACAGATCGAAGGAACTTCGAGCTCCCGCGTGTGAAATCTATCAACGTCTCGGGTCACAAGTACGGTCTCGTCTACGCGGGTGTGGGCTGGATCGTCTGGCGGGACGAGACATATCTGCCGCAACACCTCATCTTTGAGCTACACTACCTGGGCGGTACCGAAAAGTCCTTCACGCTCAACTTCTCACGGCCGGGAGCCCAGGTAGTGGCGCAGTACTATAACCTCATTCACCTCGGCTTTAACGGTTACCGCGAGATTATGGAGAACTGCCTCCGGAACGCACGACTCTTATCCAAGAGTCTTGAAGCTACGAAATGGTACACCTGCGTCTCGGATATCCACCGCACTACCTCTACGGCTGGAAGTATGGTTTCAGCCACCAAACATGCCGTAGGAGGCGAAGGGGTTGAGAACTCGGCTAATTACGTAGCGGGCCTGCCCGTCGTCTCATTCCGGCTTGCAGACGAGTTTAAGGCAGAGTTCCCGCACATCAAGCAAGAGTCAGTCTCGCTCCTCATGCGCGCTCGGCAATGGATCATACCTAACTACGCGCTGCCGCCTACCGAGGACAAGACTGAGATCCTGAGGGTTGTCGTACGCGAGTCTATGAGCTTAGACTTACTTGACCGGCTTATCACCGACTTAGTTTCTGTGACGCAGAATCTTATTGACAATGATGAGGTGGACCTGTCGATTTTACACAAGCAGAAACCAGCGGCGGATAGCAGACCCCGCGGGGATGCAAAGGGGATCGAGGGGAAGGCGGCAAGATTGGCGGATGGGATTCATAGAAGTGTGTGCTAAATGACTAGCATGTGTTCTCCGAGAAAGAATTTGACGCGGATGATCATTGGGTGGTCTAGAGAACCTAGTAATAGACTAGCAAGTAGCGTATGACTTTAGGACTGAAAAAGGGAGCCAGTATAACCAGATATTCCGATATATTCGATCGGCTGGAAAATATTATAAAATGACAATTGCCAAGCTGGGACCAATGTAATATTCCCAAGTTGTCTCTACGTGCCTAAATAAACCGCATCTTTTCTAGAACTCGTTATTAATTGTCTAAAGGGAAGAAACGACGATCATCCAACGTCATTCTGACATCTGCAGGATGTGGACGGGAAGAGTATCTGTTAATTGTTGCATCCGACGAAGGATTCAACTTCATCAAACTCGGGGACCTTGAATTTCAATTGTATTGTCTGTGTTTTCAACTGTCACCTAAAGATTGCGCCCTACGAGTTAATAAGCGATGCTCTCACTGATATATACGATAGCGCCTTCATATGAGACTATTCCTATAGAGGAATATGGCGGTTTCTATATAATGTTAACCTACCTATCATTTGATAAATACCTACCTTCATACTGCGAGTGACAGTGTCGCATCAGCAAACTGCCCAAGCGAGCACCGACGGCCTGTTCATTGCAACATCGTATCCGCCCTCCCGGTTAAAGTGAATATATCCCAACATGCCAACTTTCAGTTAAGCCTTAAGTCCGTAGGGACGCTCCGGGTTACACCCAGCTCAATAGACTAGAACGTTGTGTAATAGAAAGATCGATTCCACTTCCCCTTTCTGCATCGGGCGTCGTTCCCGGTGCGACTCTGTTAATGTCAAACATGCACGAGGGTTACCTAGGAAGGCAGGATGGAGCGTGATGAGAGAGGGCTGATGTCAGGTCTGACCAGATCAGAGGAAGGAGTTATCACTTAGCTTGGATTTCGATTTTGGTTGCAAGTTAAATAGACTCTGTTCACCTGTCGCAATTGCTAATCTCTATCGCGTTTCATCCTGGCCACTCACACAATACACCATCTTGTACGAAGAATACCTACTCACTAGACGCGCGGATCTGAAGAAAAGATTAGTAACAGCACAAGTCTAGATCCAACCAGACATAGTAATACCCAGCACGTATCGCAAAAAATGAAGGTAATACTCATTCACCTACCTACCCACCCCTATTCTCTTAGCCAGCCATTCATCATCCATCATCCATCATCCACCAACCCAAACGCTCATATACACGCATTACAGTTCACACTCCTCCCCCTCCTACTCGCCGCCACCGTGTCCGCGCTCCCCGGCGCTGACCCGGGACTCCTGTTCCGGCGCATGACGTGCGCCGGCGGCCTCAACACTCCGTGCCAGGACCTGTGCACGTGCACCGACGGCCACGTCAGCTGCCACGGCGACCCGACGAGCCAGTGCGTGAATCTGTGCTCTTGTTAAGGGACATCTGGAATGTCGAATCCAAATTTAAAATCCAAATGTCCGGCTTTCAACACACCCATCCTACTTACACACGCAACCTGGGACGAAGGGTGTTGAAAGACTTGTGAGGTGGTACAAGGTTGGCGACGGGTTGTACGACGGTTACGGGTCGTGAAGGGTACGGTATAACTACCTATGTTAGCTAGGTATTATTTTCAATTTTCTGGTCGGTTGGGAAGTTGGACGTGGAGCTATTTGCGAAAACAAGGTGCTGAAAAAATACCTATTTAACGGGGAGGGATAAATAGGGGGAAAGGGAACATCCTAAGGTGGTCTTGGCGCGCTCGGGGACGGGTTGAGTTGACTTGCGTTGAAAGGAAAAAAGAAGAGAAATATACCTACTGAATGGGAAAGAGCCATGTGTAAACCCCAAAAAGGCCCTACGAACTTGTCGAGGACTAGGCAACTCATAAAGTTGAAAGTTGATTCATTGACTAGGTAGGTAAACCAGATTATCTCAAAACATGAAAAAGGGGTTGACGTGCCTTGCTGTGAACCTCCCTTTGGGAAAGTATCAATTGACAAGGGACTCAAATCTTACACATTCAAAAACTTTAAACCCTTAACTCCCGCTTCCTATCTCAAACAAGAACGATGCACCAGCAGACAGCCTCCCTTTTCGTACGTATACCTACTCATACATCCTATCCATACAACCCCTAACCTCACCAAGCCAAGGACCTCTCACCTCCGACCATTCGGTCCCGAACCCCCTGATTTTTTCCTCAACGATGTCGTGCTCCCCCAGTTACCTGCCGACTTCCTAAGTTTATTCCCAAGGCTGATCCTAGCAGCCGACATCGGGTTCTGGAATTGCTGCGACTGATCTAGGAGCGGCTTCCCCTGCCCGTCCGCGAGCGGTATATAAGCGCCGCTGGCTATGTTCTCCCAGTCGAGGTGCCCGATCGAGTGGCGTTTGTCGGTTGCCCGCCAACTCTCTACGTCGCCGTCCGAAGGCTTGCGAATCTTGCCTTGACGGAGAGCCCCGATCATGGCGGCCCACGTCTCAACTTGACCGTTATTCGCTTCTTGGACACAGTCGCATTCGTCGCCGGCAGGACACTCGGTTTCGCCCGCCTCGTGCCATTCCGCCATACAAGCATCGTGGCAAGCACAGCCGCAGGAGAGGCAAGGGGGGTAAAGTGCATCGATCGGCTCGTTGCAGTACACGCAGAATAGTTGCATCTGTGTACGCTTGCAGCGTTCACAAGTACCTACTGCGCCCCCGAATGTCGCGCTAGCGTGGGTTTGTCTCACAGGATCAAGATGAGTCTCGTGAACTCGACAAATACCTGTTACGTCGATCCCGCGGTCAGACGAGATCAGCGACTGCAAGAGCTCCTTCTTGCCTAAGACAATAGGTGAGGTGGCCCCGTGTGATCGTGAGCTGTGGCTCAGATTCTCCGTGCTATGGTATGAATCGCGGAAGCTGACAGCTCCAGAAGCCGGAAAGTTGGGTACTTCAGGGGCGGAAGGGTCTTCTCTGAGAACGTTAAATTTCAAGATCTCAAGCCGAGACAAAGGTTGGCCCCACATTTGTAGCATCTCCGCGTATGCATGACGATAACTTGCGTGTATAGCGTAGCGGGAAGGCTCGAGGAAGGGGACACCAAGCCAGCCATCATCATCGAATATGGATTGGTCCTCCAGTTCCGTAGATATGGCATAGCACAGCAATGGCAGATTGTCATCGTTCCGCGACTCGTCGTCGGAGTACGAGTTACGTGCGGTGCCTGACGGCTCAGACGTAGGACCAAGAATAGTCGAGCCGCCCCATGTGATGTTAGTGGGAGCAAGGTTGGAAAGGAATGTCTCTCCAGGACTTGGGCGTTTCCGGCTAGGGGGAGACGTCGATGCAACACTCTGGAAAGCTCTAGAATAACTAGCTAGGCCCGCAGTTAAGGCACTATTAGCACGACTTAACAACCTGTTATCAGGTGACGTGGCCAAGCTCTGAGTTGGATCACCGTCCGGTTCTCGTGGCGTTGTCGGCGGGGGTGTCTCTCCACAGGAGTAAGAGTTAGATTTCGGATCACCGCCCCATGTCCCTTCTTCAATAGATCCGTACGAACCAGGAATATTAATAGGCGTATGTAAAGTCTTCGGGGTAGACATTGCTGAGTTTGCCTGGCTCTTGTGGTTAAACCCAGGATGCCAGAGCGAATGGTCCGTGGGGAAATAATCTAGTGAGAACGCCGGTGCTTTCATTGGAAGCGGTGTTTCCGGTTGAGTGAGATGGGATTCTGCATAGGCAACGCTATCTTCGGTCGTCGACTCGCTAAATATGCATGAAAGCATAGCAAGCATTTGTACATCGGCAATCTTCTCGAAATAGTAGAAAAGGTCATCAATCAAATCCTTTGCGAGGGGATGGTGTCCCCACTTAACCCGGCCTGTGAGCGCAGTGTCCGAGCTATTAGATGGTGGCTTATTGTCACCAAAGCGAGCAATTGCGTCTCTAGCGATGACAAGTATCGACTCTTTTCCGTGGCCGTCCCCGAGGAGCTCAAGGGGAATATCCTTGCGAAGCAATAAAGCCGCATAGTTCCAAACATCCACTAGGTCGGGCCGACCATATTTCTCTGCTATAGCAGCGTTTTGTTCACACACATCCGGGCCATCTCCAAAGATACAGTATTCGCGAGCAAACTCTTGCTTGGAAGGGAGTTCGTTTGCAACATTATAGATGGATATGATGTTTTTGGGTTTACCTGGACGACGCCTACTAGTACCAGTACCAGTACCCGTGCCAATACCGGTTCCTCCACCACTCGAGTGCATGGAATAGCTTCCACTAAACGTCTTCCTGAAACGTCGTCCTGGTAGATACCACATGTTGATTTTGTGCATATATGTAGTTTCCGAGTCACTCGAGCTAGAGGACTCCTCTCCCTCGTCCGACTCGGATTGGTCATCGGTTGCGGAAATGTCGTCATTGGTGTACCTATTTCTCGGAGCTGAGGACTCCTGTTGAAGTCTGCCAAACCCTGCAAAACTGGGCTCCCCTTTCGGACGCTCCCTATAAGTGTCACTAGTGGCGAAAAATGAAACCCTAGCCTTCTCTTCCTTGGTTGGGAAGAAACAGACCAATTTTCCATCATTCGAAAATCGACAACCGCACAATCGTGGCATTGGCGGTATGATATTTCGATTTGTTGGTGCAAGTGTAGCGTCTAACTCGGTACTCGCGGTCAATTCTTGAGACATGGTTGCAGAGCCGCCGGCGGGAATGTCGTTATCTTCCTCTTCGCTTGAGCTTTCATCGGCGAGTCCACCTAAATCATCATCGAGGTCCTTAACATTCTTAAAGAGCGAATCACTACTAGAGAGATCGACTTCTCCAAGAAGGTAGCTAAAAGCAACCTCGAGGCAATTCTGTCGCTTTTTCGAGAACTGGCCTACTAATTGATGGATTTCCTGATCAATTTTCTTATGCGTCTGGTCTGACATCAATGCTGTCTTCTCGACGATGAATTTCGGTGATCTTGATTTTGGATAATTCCTGGGGATGTCCGCCGTGACTTTGATATAAATAGTATCGCCTTCTGCGCCCCAGGGGCCTTTAAGGGACGCCTTTAGAGTTAGAGCATCCATATCCACGTTATCAAATTTGACATTCGGCATCTGCTGGCTGACACGAACAATTTCTTCCTGCAGCGTTTCGGGTTCCCCCCAATGCTCGTCATGGAAGTTATGTCCAAACATGGTGGAGTCTCTGGACTCTTTTCTTTGAGGCGGTCCGATGATTCCTGATTTCTTGCTCATTGTGATACCTTTCATCCAACCAAGCTGATCCAGGCTTCTATCGATTATTCTCCCGGCGGAAGACTTCGCTTTCATAGACGGCCCCTTCCAGCCCGGGAGTCCGCCGCCAGAGTGCGGGTAATGTGATGACATGGTCTGCATTCCCATGGTGAGAGCACTGCGAGGGAGATGGCTTCCTCCGCTTCCAGGACGAGGGTCGCTCATAGTAGGTGTCCTTTTCTCCCTGGTTGCATGATCATCAATGGCTCGGTAAGTCTTATATGCGGCTCCCTTTCTCGTAATGTTGATATCCGGGGCCGGTCCGCCTTTCACATGGCCAATAGACTCCAAAGTCGGCTGGTCGACTCTGTGAAGACGTAACTCGTTGTCTTCGCCCCATGATACAAGTTGGAATTCACGATTATCTATCCCTTCATCGGAGATTGTTCCACGACATCTCCATAAAAACTCCTTGACCTTATGGTTTCCATGCCCAGGAAATATATTGTGTGGATTGACTGCGCCGTCTACAGGTACCCCTTCAGCACGGCGGATATCGTACAAGTAAAGGTTTCCAGGGTCGTTTTGAGGCATGGCTAACATACCCCAGCCGAAAGGGGCATGGCGAGCGCGCCAAACAGGGAAATCGGTCCTAATAATCCGCTCCGGATCATCAGACTCATTATAATCCCAGAATTTGATGCTCTTGTCCAAGGAGCAGGTGACAATTTTTGTCGACTTAGAACGATTCCAATCAAGGCCGTAGATCTTGGAAGTGTGGGCGCTGATGGACTTGAGAGGGGCGGAGGGTTTCCTTTCATCCCAGATGTGTAGCCATCTGTCGTGGGATGAAGCGAGCACGTGGGGGTCCTGTCGATTGTATTTGACTTGAGTAGCCCCAGCAAACCAATCGCTAAAAGTCAAGACGGGTTGCTTGGGTCTCCGCAAGTCCCAGCAATGCACAAAACCATCAACTGCGCAGGTGGCGAGAATATCGGGGTGGTGAGCGGAGAAGTTAACATCGGTGATAGCCCTACTATGACCCTGGAGGGAATGCTCGATAGCACCGGTAGCAGAGTCTTCTCTTAGGTTCAAATTCCAAACTAAGCAACGATGGTTCGCTGTCGAAGCTACCCAGTAATCTCGAGCTGCAAAAGGTGACCACTGCACATCAACGACGAGCCACGGTAGTCCATGGCTACTTAGCCGACGCGGAGGGCTATAAGGGGAATCAAGGTCGATGATGGCCAGACCTTCAGGGCTTTCGATATTGTAAGCATATGCTATATATTATACTGCGAGCATGATGCTTGTGACTTACGAAGCAAGGGCTACATCGCGGCCACATGGCGATATAGTAGCTGATCCAACAAGACCATCGACATGGATGGTGACGTTAGCATCAAATGTTTCACTATCGTAAGCGGATTTGATGGGCTTCCCCTTCTTGGACGGATCTAGGTGATCGAAAGTTGAAGGCATAGCCGATTAATTTGTAAGAGCGTATGAGCTCTCTCAGAACGTTGAGTTCTCAATGAGTTTCGCATTTCGCATGATGGTACGGCCCATGCTTTGCTTATCCGCACGTTCTCTCAACTATTACCACTTAATGAATTCAAGTTGGCTTCTCATCAAGTCTATTAAGTTACAATCGCGATCTTGGATGAATGATGAGATTGGAAGGCGAATGCCGGAGTAGATTAATAAGTATTAATTCGAGGAGACATCGTCGAGGCTCAGTCAAGGGTAGAAAAGCAGGGCTATATGAAAAATTATGTAACAAGACATGAAGGAATTCGGGACTTGACGTAAGGTCGTCCTATAGGAGACAACCCGGATGGTGCCAGCGTGCTGGAAGTCGCGATTCGCTGTTGAGGTGCAGTTCTCAGATTTAGCGTTGGATCTTGATTACATAACAGAGAATATTATGATTGGTCTATTCTTTAAGTTCCGCTAAGCTCCTCTAAGTTACTTCTCATATTACTTTGGTGAAAAAGTACAATCCGTTAATCTAGTAATATATATTTTCCAACGTTCTTTACAGTTACTAAATCCATAAAAACTACTTTATATAATACGCAACTAAATAGACAACTTATTATCCGTGAGCTCACAATAACAGGTTTTAAGAGCATTGTATGCATATGACGCTAGAAGGTACATAACGTGCTTGTATCTTCAAGGATTCCGTAGCTCGGTGTGGGAATATTTTATGCCCGACGAATGAGGGGCATTAAGGAACCTGGTGAATTCTTATCGCAAGGAGCATCCCACCTGATTTGTCTTTGTCTCAGTCGCGAGTTCTCAGTTAATCGACTAAGTTGAGTTTGCCCAATGTCGAGTATTTAGTACCTTATTACTCCATTTAACGTAATCCCGTCTTAGGAATCTTCAAATACTTTCTTCCTCGAAAGCTTGCTGTCTGTCGCTTCGTCTTTGCTAGTATTCACTTCCGCCGGCAGCAACATCTCCTAGTTGCTTTGCTCCCCCACCGTTACAAAGAGGCAGACGCTTGCTCCGTTACATGCACTGTGAAACACCAGTGCTTGTCCCCAGCTCGTCGCATTCTCAGCCTCATTGGCAATAGGCGATATCGCTCTCTACCGAGCCACGTTTCTTAGCTAGATCTCTCCGCCTTGAATAGATTTCAATTCTTCCTGACCTTCCTTTTTCTTCTTCTCTCGCTCCACCATCAACTTCCCAACCAACCACCAAGATGGCGTTGCCAAAACGTATTGTGAAGGAGACAGAACGTCTCATGACCGAACCGTAAGACCTAGAGAAATTCGTCCGTAAGAAATTAAAGATCTGATCAAATCATCGCAGGGTCCCCGGTATCAGCGCGGTTCCCCACGAGGACAACTTGAGATATTTCGATGTCGAGATCCACGGCCCCTCAGGATCGCCGTATGAGGGTGCGTAACCACATCAACCAGCTTAAATATTATTGTGATAGGTCTATTAACGTAGTGTTTGTCTGCTGCAGGTGGTGTTTTCAAGCTCGAGTTGTTCCTGACAGACGACTACCCGATGGTCCCGCCCAAGATCCGCTTCCTAACCAAGATCTACCACCCCAACGTCGACAAGCTAGGCCGAATCTGCCTAGACGTACTCAAGAGTAAGATACCCTCTAAGATCATGTTTAATCTGCCGTTTTCGATATATATTGACACACCCGCTCGCAGACAACTGGTCTCCGGCACTGCAGATCCGAACTATCCTCCTGTCCATCCAGGCCCTCCTCGGCGCCCCGAACCCGGAAGATCCCCTAGCCGCGGACGTCGCCAAGAGCTGGAAGGAGGATGAGAACAAGGCCATCGCGACCGCCAAGGAGTGGACGAAGAACTACGCCACACCCCCGCCGAAATAGAAGAGTAGGCTGGCTAGCGCTCGTGCCGCGATAAAGAGAGCGGTTTATCGAAGCCTGCGACGAGATTCCCAGGGACGAAAGTACGAGGACGCGTGGGCCGAATTATTGAAGTCCGAACTCGCGTGAGCGATCCTGCGAGTTTTGAGACGAGATGGGACGAGCCTCCTCGTGTTAGGAGCCGAGGACTCCGTCCCTCTTGATTTTTTTACTAGCATTGGACTGCATCGGCGTTATGTGTATTGATCGATGACGAACGACAGTTAGGGAATATGATGGTAGGATGGCAGTTAGCATGCGAAATAGATCTTCGGCAACTCAATCCTATTGATTTGTGGCACTTAGTTTGGCCATTCTTGCAAACATAATTTTGAGTGAACCTTTTTGGGTAAATATTCATGCTCATACTGATAGACTTTGTAAGCGTATCAAACATCCAGCGCTGCATCTATATAACAATACCATAGCAGCCGCTTGATTTCCATTTCTATTTTCATTCCATCACCACCATCATCTAGACTATATGTTCAAATCGGACAACCCATACATCGTCCATTAATCCACCCAAGCCTATCCCATCCCATCCCCTCCCATCCCCACGACCTCGCGACCCCCTCTACCACCACCTTACGTATCCTTAAACGTAAAAATGCCCTTCCCCTTCCTAAACCCCTCAAACGTGCCCTGCACCGCATCTTTTAACTCCTGCACCTCCGTCTCCCACGTCCACGGCACCTTCACAATCGGCACATCCCTGAACTTGCCCTCCCTAACCAACCCCAGTATCTCCGCCACCGTCCGCTCCTTCGCCGCCGCGTCCCCGTCCGCCCACCGACTAAGCCAGAACCCGACGAACCTTATGTCTTTAAAAATCAACAAACCCGTCGGCAGCGCGACGGGCGCGCGCGACATGCCCCCGTACGTGACCACGGTGCCGCCGCGGCCGAGACTATACGCGATACCCTGCGCGCTCTTGCCGCCGACGCAGTTCAGGCCCAACCTCACGCCCTCGCGGTTCCCCCTCGTCCACTCCGCGAGCCTGTCCCTGAACTCTCGCGCCGTGAACTCCGGTTCGGTGACCACGTGCGTGGCTCCCAGATCCAGGAGCTCTTTTTTAAGAGCCTCGTCCTCGGCGGCCGTTTCGCGCGCCCGCACGACGTTGATGCTGCGGTACCCCCACAGCTTGCCGAGCTGGATGGCGGCGCGGCCGACGCCGCTGTTGGCGCCGTTCTGGATGAACCAGTCGCCCTCGCGCAGCGGGTAGGGGTGGGCGTAGTCGCGCAGCATGCGGTACGCGGAGCACGGGTTGACGGATACGGTGGCGACCTGTTCGGGGGTGAGCCCCGTGCGGTCGACTTTGATAACGGCGTCGGCGGGCGCGAGCGCGTGCGTGCGCCACGTGCCGAACTGCGTCTTTTTGGGGATCACCCAGTCGCCGGAGGATAAGTCCGCCGACGACGAGGAGACGACCTCGAAGGCGCCCTCGTTGCCCGGCACGACGGACGGCTGAGCCGTGCCGAGCAGCGTGTCGAAGGCCGGCTTCGCGCCGTACGTGCCCTGGATCGTGTTCACGTCTGCGGGGTTGATAGGCGCGGCGAGGGTGCGCAGGAGGACGGAGGAGGGGGTTAGGGAGGGGGATATGGAGTGCGTGTGTAATCTATAAGTATGAGTTTTCGATCCTATGAGCTTACCTACGAAATTGTAAAGACGTAAACGGGGGAGACAAAAGGGACAAAGGCTTACTTTAAAACGTCTTTCGGCTCGCCGTATTCACTGAAGACTAAGGACTTCGCCTGGGTATAGCCATACGGCCCAGACTTGCAGCGAACCTGTACCCGCGGCGTCGGCCATGCTTTCAAGCTCGCTGTGCGTTGGATCGGTCGAATTGAGCTCCTGGCCACAGAACATGCCATACCCTGCGCTCTAAGCGGCCTAAGGGTAGCCATATTCGTATATATGGGATGTGGTGTTGAATTGCAAAGCAGTTGGTTGGTTTACATCAGGTAAGTCTCGATTTAAAGATCTGATTTAATTAGCGTACACCATAAATTCGGAGCTCTGGAAGCTTGGACATTCGGCAATGACGTTAGAACCGTCAAAGAATTACCGAAGAGGTCCCTAATTGGCTAAAGCTATAAGCTGTAAGCTTACGTAAGTGCTCCCCCCTTTTCTAAATTCAAGGTTACCTTAGCCTGTCGAATAGCGGAGCTGGATTATTTACGTAGAATGTCACTTGTAGAAGGGATAGACGGAAAGCTGGCACCACATCTTAGCTTCGAAAAACAGAAACAGTTTTGATTTGATTCCCCGACCGCCTCCCTTTTCGATATTGGGGTATGGAGCATTAAGTGGTACCTGAGAATAGGGAACAGTGAATAGGAAAAATTGATGATGCCCTTCGCGCCCAGAGATGCACTATTTCACAGCAATATGATGATATGATGGTAATCCTCTCCAACCGGAAGGCAGGTATGAATCTCTCCCGCTATCGTGACCCATAACCACATAGCCGTAAATGTTAACCGTTAGTCGAAATCGCCCCCGTGACTTCTGACCTCTTTGCATTGCCTTCTTTCTGCCAGCTCTCTGCAATTTCTGAGTCCTTTGGGTCCTTCGAGGCCTTCGCGTCGTGTTTTCAGAGCAGTCGCCTTCCAGGTCGAGCCGAATTCAAATCGCTGGGATCGTCCCGGATCTCCACGAAAATGATAGGGCAGAGACTGACGCCCGGGAAATAAGTGGAGGGGTAGGGGTAATCGAGCAAACACACAGAAGTACATGAATCCTTTTCCAGATAACTCTTATTGTAACACACTTATATGACGTGCGGAGATTCAAGAAATAAGGGGGAGGAGAAAGGGGGCAAACAAGAAAGTTGAATGTAAAAATAAGTGAAAAATAGAAAAAATGCCGGAACAGAATTGACAAGGTATTGTCGTAGAATGAGCTCGCGCAGGAGCTGGGTATCTAATAATCCACCCCCATAAAGCTTTTCTTCAAAGCAACGCCTCCTCCTCTCGCATCGAAATAATCGTCGTATCAATGATGAGATGAAATATTACTTTGCCGTCGGATGATTATGGCAAGTGGTTTGAAAATTGGTATCCAAAGTCCGCGAAATGTCGAAGATAGTTATAACCAGAGCATGGTCGAAAACGGGATATCGATCTTTTCGGTGTAATTTCTTACTTAATTTCCTTAAATAGGTCGTCCCCTAGATGAGTGTCGACCTTGGATTCAAGCGCGCTCAGCTCGGGGATCATCGGCGGGGGCGGACCTAGCGGCTTCTTCGGTTCCTCGAAGATTTGACTGGTTCTCTTGCTGGCGTGGTCATTCGTCCGTAATCGTTTGAACCAGCCGCTAGACCGCTTTGACTTTCTCTCATCCATAATAGAGCTCGCCGTCCGGCTCGGAGGTCTGGAGGTGCCCGGGCTAAGCATTGATCCTTGTTCATCGTAAGCGTGGTTCAATAATGATTTGCTAAGCAGGCGTCTGAGGCTTCCGCGGCTTGACAGCGTAGGTGATGCCGGAACATCCTCTGCAAGACGCTTCATACCAATGCTGGCCGGAATTGCGGTGAGTTCGGGCTTGTTGGGGGCTGTACCATGACCATTAGCGGTTCCATTTACATCCGGCTTTTTCTCGACATCGATCGGTTGAGGTCTCGGTGACTTCGGCGGTGACGGAGCCTCCTCCTTAGGAGATGGTAGCGGCGGTGGAATGTCAGTGCCGTCAGTTAAGGATCCGAACGTGAATTCCAGGGCGGGAAGTTCGAAACGCTTGGCGGTCGACGTTGCCGGTGCGACGGCGGCAGCACCATTGCTTGCCTTAGCGGGCATGGCTAGGGAGTTCGAACGGGTTGTGCTGATAAATCAAGGAAGGTAATCGGACGCGATTCGTTGTCGGCCGCAAGAGAACTGTATGGATTGAGTCAGGTTAGAACTACTACTGTGTATGTAGAACGGCTAGGAATCACGAGCAAAAGTGAAACAATTAGGAAAAGGACCTAGCGCAATAAAATCTGGTAATGAAAAAAAGTCAATAGTACGAACCTGTTGTACGCTCGGGGCTCTAGAACGAAAGTGGCCCCCTAAACTTCCGATCGGCTCGGAGACGAGTCGCAAATTCTGAATGGGCAGTGGGCAAAAAGAGGGCAAGCACAAGTTTTACTTGCGTACGTCACGGTTTGAGCGAGGGGACAGTCGAAGCATCCCGGCGCAGCGCGATTGACGAGACTAAGAAAAATAGCCAGGAAGATCTGGAGCGATTGGAGCAATTGGAGCAATTGGCAAAGCAGCGAGATGCTCAAAGTGACAAAAGGCAAGGAGAAACAGATCCGGTGGCGCGGTGGGCTTCTGTTTTCCCTAGGTGGAGAGCGTGTGGTGGATTATAGAAGGGGAAGAGGAATAAGAGGCAGAAGAGGCTAGGCCAGACCCCAAATTGCCGGGATCAAGGGTGTTCGCGAAGGAAATGGTGGCTGGGCTTGGTACCTAGTATGGCAAGTATGGTACTATAGTATGGTAATTATGGTAGTATGGGTGGTGCTGCTGGTCTTGTTAAATGAAATGATGTGCTGCCTTCTTCAAGACCGTGCGCGAGAACCTTGGATTCGGGAATGTGCGAGATACCTGGCGCGGGTCAAATACAACCAGAATACAACTTCAGGTTCAACCTGGACATATGGAAATAAACACGACTCGAAATGTAACTCGAAAACGTGAGATATCGTTCCTCGTACCCACAAAAAGCCTCTAGGGGTTGAATGGCTGAGATGGTCCCTGAATTTCAAAGCAGAAGCAGAAGTTGAGTGGTGAGCTAAGATGGCTAAGCAGCTAAGCAGCTAAGAATGCAAGAACTGAGAACTAAATCAGTCTAAACTGAGAACTCTGAGAAAGATTTACCGACTAAACAGGTGGGGATGTCCCGATGTGGAAAGGTCATGTTGATCCGATCAGGAAACTTACACGGCTTAGTCGCTCGTAGTTCTCTTAGTACCAGGGTACCGCACATTGGTAGGTACGACCTTAAGGTACGACTTTCCTGTACCTGATTACTCGTCCCAGTCATGTACCGCGCGTTGCACATGTTAGTTACACCGGTCAAGCAGGAGCAGGGCAAGAGCAAGGCAAGAGTCTGGCATCATACCATTCATCTGATTAAGAACTTGGAAGTTTGTTACAGAAAACCCATTCTTCATTGGTAATTGATGAACCCTTACGTGGAGGATTCTAATCATCCAGGAATACTCCAAGTATGTAGGTAATACGAGTTTATCTAATGTATGCATACCCAAGTGTTGTAAATGAGTGTTCCAAATGTAGTACTATGCTAATCCCCCACTTTACACTTTACAGCTACAGGTCTACATATACCTGCGCATATGAGTAGGCGGCTAAGGCGAACACTAATACTTCATATTGTTATCTCCGAGATGTATTCCCACTCAAAAGGGGAAAAGAGAAGACGAAGATTGGCAGATAGCTAGATCAATAGATTAGGTACATAAGGGCATCTGCCCATATTCGCGGTTGCTCCCCCATATTGAACCCTAATCTACCTGTTGACGCAATATGCAACGTGTATCTAGCCTGACGAAGCCACATGTCTAAGGAGTATTCTAAAGTTAGATGGGACGTTGGGGGGACAAAAGGAAAAGACACATTAAAAAAATAGGGGATGCGCAACAACAGCCCAAACTCGAATTGGTATCACAAAGGTTCCACATCCACGGCTCAGATCTCTAATAGGGTACGACGGTGACGGGGCTAGTAATGGCTTCTAGAAGCACATTTGATAGGCGGCAGAATCTGCTAACTTCCGTGATACAACCGATCTCCGATGCAGTAGTGTTGGTCCTCTTCCAGACATTTACCTTGCAACGTCCTATCGTTTAGCTACCTTAGCTACATACCTAGGCTGCCGACAGATGCAGCCAAGGTGTCCACCGATCGAGAGCACTTGCAAATGCGGCATGCCTTTGGCAAACGGGATTTTTTTTCACGGATGTGGCTGCAGCCTTCCGTTCGTCTGTTTCACATAAGGGGTAGCATGTATTGAAACTTGTTTGAATGCGTCTTCGCACTGGGTATCATGTATTATTGAGGGTTAGCAATATCTTCAACACCAAGCCATCGTTAACCCCTTCATAAAAGTATGAATGCCGCTTCAGGCATATCCAAAGCAAGCGGCAAGTTCTAAAGTTCTAATATCAATGCATAACTCCCCTAAAATCATTCGTGATTCGTTCGACGGCTGTCAAGGCCTGAACGCCTGGACCCAATCATGTAGTCGATCAATGACGACGGGCATGATGCCGTTGAGGCTATCCTCCATGATTCCATCCAAGTGTCTTATTGCGTCCTCCTCGTTCAGATCCAGATGGAACCGCTCCTTCACCTTAAAGACTGCCTTGTCCGGCTCAATCTTAATGTCCGGGATATTAGCATGTACCATAAGGCTGAACAAATTGAGGATCAGATTCGACGACTTTCGTAGAGCCGCGAACGCGAGGAAGCAGTATTGCTTGAATTGCAAATAATGCTCGCTCGGGGGATTTGAGCCGCCCATAGCATCAGCCATTTCCTTACTAAGCTTCACCGCCGGAGCGAAGGGTTTAGGATCTCGACCAAGGATGAATCCGAAATCAGCGTGGAAGAAGTGGCCGTCCGGTGTTAGAAGAAGGTTGTCCAGATGACGGTCGCCAACTCCTAATATGTACGTGATGACACAATATCCCGCACATGATTTGACAAACGTGTCAAGTGTTTCCTTTCGCACTCCTAAGTACGCCCGTTCATCTGGATTGTGCTGTTTGAGGTAAGCAAGAGCAGGATTGTTGCGGTATTTGGAAGCTATCGCTGCAAACGTCTGAGAAGGTATAAATTGAGAAGCACCAGCAGTTGTGCTAGTTGCGAGAATTTTATAAGGAGTCAGTTTAAGATCCAGGTTTTCCTTTTGAAGCAGCTGATCCATGAGAGTGATAATCTGGATAACTAGTTGATCTTGTCGCAAGTCGTCGCCGGTCTTGAAAAGAATAGGGTACTTGCTGCCCGACAATGTCTTAAATGTTACCATGATTGGTGATAGAGACGACTTAAAGACTCTTGTCTCTTCCGGGATCACACCAACCACCAGGATCGACGGGTCCAGAGGTATAGGGACGGGCGGGTCAATCGACAAGACCTCATTTTTGGGATCTGCTAAGAAATGTTTAACCCTCTCAGCCTTGCGAGCCACCGACTCATTTGAGGCCTGAATCTCCGCTGAAATTTTAGATAAGACCGTGACAAGCTCGGCTTGTCTCCTTATGGTAACTCTCGTCTCACGCCCGCCTGGACGGTCCTCTAATTCTTTCATGAAGTCATACTGAACCTTTGCGTACATAGTACGAACTTCTTCGCCCTGGTCGTTGCTCTTGTCGTCGTATTCAACTCCAAGGTACCAATAGAAATAATTTCCAAGAGTGAAATTCTGAACAGCTCGCGAGATCAGAAAATTGGCCAGCGAAGATGCTCGCACGGTAGCCTGGTTTGAGTCGGCCGAAATATGTTCGAACTTCAGAGCCTGGACTAGCTGCAGCAAGTAAAGGAGCAGTTCATGGTCATCCGCTTTCCTTAGCCTTTCCACTGCGTACGCTCTCACGGCCCTATTATCGAAGGTAGGGCCAAGCAGCTCAAGAGCATCATCCACGTCGATATCGGTCCATTTACCCAGAACCTGGATGGCCTGCTTAGATTCGCTTTGGTCTTGCCAGTTGACGGATTTGACAAACTTGGTAAGGGCCCGTTTGTCCTTGGTCAGGTGGTAGCGAAATTTCCACACAAGATCCTTCTCTTCCGGTGATAAGACGTGGGTCGGGGAGTACGACACGATCATATTCAGCTCGTCTCGAACCTTAGCGTTGGGTCTCAAATCTTTGTCTAGTATCCCATGGCGATGCTGGCTTCTGACAAGACGTCTATGTTTGCTTTCTGCCGGATTGTCCCTAGCCCCCACTTCAGGATCGTATATTCTTACCAGACGACCACTCATACCATCTCCCGCACCTCCCGGGCCATTAATTCCAGGGCCATACGACACCTCAGGGGGAGGTTTCAGGACGATATTGGACTGAGAAGCTGAAAGATGCTGGAAAGACGAGATTGGTGGTGGTGGATACTCGTGATCCGCAAATACGACAGGGAAGTCAAAGCGAGGTAGTTCAATATTCAACATAAACTTTGACGGCCCAGGTCTCAACGGGTCCCCAGTCTCCGGGTCAATAGGCATATTCTGCTGCCCATTCTGCTCACCATCCGCGTTCAACGTTGCTTGGCGTTGGAGTGACTTGGTCGAATTCTTGGCCGCCTTTAAGCCACGCTTCTCGGTGCCACGGTATACAAGTTGGTCAAGCCATTCAACCCTTGGTATTTCGTTCATCTCATGTTTTTTGAATAGTTTCTCCAGGCGCTCGAGTTCTTCAGCTTCTTTATCCACAAGAACATTATCATCTTTCTTAGAGCTAACTTTTCTCTTCGCGACGCTTGATGGAGTTGTTGTATTATCATTCCCGTCAGCTTGTTTGTGTCGGTGGACTAAACATTTCTGCCTCCCCTTCTGAAGCTGGTTGTCCTGATCAAAAAGTGGAAGCGTTGTCCCGCCAAAAGGGATTGCATGACCCTGAGCTTGTTTTCCACCTGTGGGGGACAAATCCCATATGGTTATAGCTAGGTATGAGTTGATGGGGAGAGATTTGTACGGTATCGGTAAGGTAAGCCATTCGTTCCATCTCCTCTCGTTGCGAAATGCTTTATACGACGTCTGTACAGGGACCGTTAAGGGTTTCGAGCCGGCCCACACTTGGACGGTGACGTAGAGATCGGAATGTGGGCTGGAGATTAGGCACTTAAGTCAGCATAATCCTCGTTACAGAAGGACCACTTCATGACGCCTAGGGCCAGGATACACACCTCACGTTAGAGCCAATATGCCTCAAATCAGGCCTCTTTAGTAAGGTTGAATATAGATGAGGCGGCTCGTCTCCCTCTAGGTTGATTCTATACAATCAGTTAGCTATACGTGGCGATCACCACGACCTCGCTATCGTATTGTCTCACATGCGGATGCTGACCGGATAGTCCAGCGACTCGGAACTACCAAACGAAAAGGGCTCCATTGCAAGATATCTGTTCCATTAGAGCATTAACATATTATGTACGAACACAAGGCATGCTGGGGTTGAGAGTTGACGGCAATAGCGGGCACCATAGCAAGATGATCCATTTATGTGTCGGTATGAAGTACATTTAAGCGATCTAAGGTTCAAGGTTCCTGATCACTTGCATTCGTCATAAAGCTACTCTTATCTTATCGCAAGTGCGCCCCACTTGACCTTGAAGGTCGGCTTACATAGGTACACCACGCGCTTGTTCTTAGCGCCCCCACCGGATTTCCAGATCTTTGGGAATACACCCGTTTTTGAACTTAGGTACCTACTTAGTACAATTCAATGTTCATGTCGTACCTTCCTGATTTCAACTGTCTTGTTGAGATACCTACCTAGTAGGTACCCTTTGTTATAATATCACAGCACAACCTTAGAGATTAACACTTTACTTTGAACAAAGTCTACTTCCTCGGCGTCAGACCTCCTTCACACAGCCAAACCTCTGGAGCCCATAACTATGTACCTATCTTAGGTAGATACGCCTTTTTCCAGCCACAGATACGAGCCACAAATCGAGGACCGGTTTGCAACCCAATTTAATTCGGAGTCGCGTCGAAGTTAAGTGGACGCGGTCGACGCGTCTCCTTACGCGAAGCACACAACGACAACTGGCAGCATGGTATAGTGATATCCATATCTCGGATATCAACTTTCAAGGTCACATCTACTTTGTACGAAAAGGGTCTTGAACCCATTCACCACTTCTGATTATTCATTTATCGGAGACTATCCCCCATTCCTCCATCATGTCATCAGTAGCCTCCTCCACCCCTGAAGAGTCTCCGGGCTCCACACCAGTTCCGGAGGATCGTCACAATCTGGTTATCAGAGATAAAGGCAAAGCACCCGAGAGCTTGTCGAAAAGAAAGAGAACTTTGACAAATGGCACAGAGCATGCCAGTTCGAGGCGGCGAACTCGCGAGCCTGAGTCTGAGGCTGGGATCGAGGAACAGGATTTTGATCCGGACCAATCTATGGAAGAGCGACGCAATCTTCAACGTGGATATCGAGATCTCCTTCGTGATCTTCATGAGAACAACGACGAATATCTCAAGCTAGATTCAGTTGGCTTACACGAAACTTTGCGTAAAGCCAATGAGCTGTCATCTAATGTGAAGCAAACTACCGAGGCTGCCATAGATTCGAAGCTCTTAGTTAGCACAGCTGATGCATCTTACCGCAAAACCGTTCGCCTAACTTCAGGTAGCGTTGCTCAAGGGGTTGATGTTGAGGAATTTGTCTCGAAATGTATTACCTACATGCGACTAGGATCCGGCATCACGGAAGATGATGCACCAGAACTTACCTCTACACAACAACACAGAAGAAGACCTGGTCGAAGCAGCTTGGATGATGAGGGAGACTACGATGACGAGATTGGTGATGAAGGTGACATGTTCAACTGGGAGCATCTTGGTCGATTTGCTTGCCTTCCTCATGTCCGACGTCCAGCTACCCCTGGTTTTCTCCTCGGCCCTCTCTCTGCTGAAGTCAAGAGAAGAAAGATTACCAAGCGCAGTGCGCCATTCAGGCCTAATAACTTGCAGGAAACGAGACCCGAGGTTCTAGATGCCGAGGCGGTGCAAAGAACAGAAAAGAATGACCTTACCACCATCTGCTCAAAGATCCTTCACAGACTGAAGCAGGTGCAGGACGAGGCTCAGGATGCTGTGGAAAGTGCTGTTCTGCGCGGAGCCAGCGACGAAGAGGCGCAGATATTGATGGACCGCCACGGTCTTAGAAGTACAGGCGGTATCGATCTCTTGAAGTTCGTCGTAAATCCGCATTCCTTCGGTCAAACCGTGGAGAACATGTTCTACGTCAGCTTTCTAATTCGAGATGGCCGTATCAAGATCGACTTTGACGATAAAGAATTACCAACTCTTCGTAAGTAAACCCAACGATCAATTTCTCTAATTAGTATACTAACACCGCTCAAGACCCCGTCGATCGTGAGGACGAAGCTGCCGCCTCGAAGCATCGTGCCCAAAAGCAACAGGCTGTGTTCTCCATCGATATGAAGACTTGGCGCGACATTATCAGCACGTTTAATATTACCGATCCCATCATAGAACACCGCCAGGAAGAGAGCCATCAAGGACCCGGATCTCGGGGTTGGTACAATTAGTCTTGATGTTGCTATCAGCTGTACAATCAGAAAACGCTATCCACGGAGACCCTTAGATGAGGTCCATAGATGCTGCTTTGCACATTGCAACGGAGCCCAGAGGTGTCTTTACTGTATGTGTAGCCGCCCGTCAGATACCCCGAACCAGTGGAAGAGTTCAATTGTAATAAAAACTTTGTACAATCCATTAGCCGTAGATCGCTCCTGAATACCTCGATGGGCATCACTAGAGCTTTGTGGTCGGTTGCAAGTTGCTAGCTGAGCCACCAAAATAAAATACGGTCTCTACAATGCTAATATTGTCTCTTTTTAAGGTACTTAGGTACTCAGTCGGTTCGGACCCTCGAACTTTAGTGAACATTTAGTGTACAAGTTAGCGCCAGCAACTTTGTAGATACCTATATATATTGTCACTAGGCAGCTGTACGAGGGATTCTGCCACTTCATATGACGGCCGTCTCATCACCGCCCTGCCATCTTCTTCCCACAGGTATATACCAAAACTTTACCAGACCAATTTTAATTCTTGATTCTTTCCTTCTCCTCACCACAAGCTTCCAGAGTTAGAACATTCGCAGCTTTTACAAAAATACCTGCAAATTCAACTCACGCTTGTACTTTCAACATCACACACAACTGTCATCACCACTGTCGTCGTCCCGACTAGTAAGTAAGCATTTCCTTAGGCGATTCTCCCTTACCGATTTCTCTGCCCCAAACCAGTATCTTGGCCATCAACTTCATCCCCAAACATCACTTTCACCTCCACCACCAACTTTGCCCTTGATCAATGATCTAATCTTCATCGTGAAAGTTCATCTGATCCAAGGTCACTACATTATCGGTAAGATTTTTTCGTCTTTAATATTATCCATTATCTTCACCCAAGTGGCATCTTCATCCTTGAATATCGCCTCTACCTTCACCTCGATTACCCTACTTGCATTCGATATTCATCTCCGTCTCAAACCATCATCTGCGTCCTCGACTATTATTACAACCGCTACCGCATAAGAATCTGCATACCTGGTCATTGCTTCTTTTTTTAATAATTTTTTCTCATGTGTGGGTGTACCAATTTTCATCCATTTGAGTCATCACCTCGTACCCTACCACACTATCCTTACCAACATTAATACTTTCTACATCCTGCTCCGTCTTCAATCTTTTCCTTAAACATCAAGCAACGGACATTTTCATTTGAAGCAATCAACCAACTTCTGTCTTCTTGGCCACTGCCACCATTATCATCACCTTCAAACTTCATCCCAACCATCGTCTTTTCATACAATCGTCAGTCCAAAATTCCTATTTCCATATTCAACCTTAACCACCAGTAAGCGACTGCTTTTCCACCCATTATTTCTTCTTGTTATTTCTATTTTCCACAATCTTGCTCTCTTTTTTTAAGAAAGTTCTTTTCCTCATCTTCAATCATCAGCCTATCCCCGATTATCGTTCTAGTCTTCCACTTGACCTTTAGCCAGTAGTCTGATTTTCAGTCATCAATTTTCATTTTCAAACATGAATACTAACAACCATTCTCTAGTCACAATGTCCTTTGGTCCTGTCACCGCTTACCCTGCCGCCGCCACCATGTCTTCCCCTTTCCCTACCGCCGGAACCATGCAGTCCGGTTACCCCGGGGAAATCCCCCCCGCCGCAACCTACCAGGCTCCCGTTGCCGCGGCCGCCAAGCCCTCATATGAGGAGCTTGAGCGTGCGTGCGCCCTTCTGCAGGGCCACTGTCAAGCCCTGTGGGACGAGAAGAACTTCATCCATCACCAAGCTACGATGGAAGTCTCTCGTCTCACAGAGGCGAACAGGGTGCAGAAGGGCGCCATAGAGAAGGCCAAGAAGGTCTTCAAGGGTCTCATAAGCGACCGACAGCGACTCCATGTCGACAACCGCCGCCTCAAGCTTAAGCTTGACAAGCTTGAGCAATCTTGCGGCGCAATGGTTGTCGACACGGACGCCAGCGTCGAGGCCCAATGCGCCCGTCTACAGGGCCAAAACGCGGCCCTTGAGGAAGAACTCAAGGGTTTGCAGAGAGAGTACATGGAGTTGGGTAAGTCAAAACAAGAATCCCTTCTCCCCTTTTTAGTTTAATAACCCACTAACTCTCTTTATAGTGGAGAAGTCCGACAACGAGCAGAAGAGCGCCTCGGCTCTGCTGTCTGAGGTCCAAGATCGAGCGATCAAGGACGCAGAGAGCCAGGCGGCCACTGCGAAGGAAACGGAGAAGACGATGGAGAAGAAGGTAAGGGAGCTCAAGAGAGAGGTGAAGGAGCTCCGGGAGAGCTACTCCTCCTCATTCCGCAAGCACTGTGTGCGGTTTGAGAAGGAGTGCCGAAAGCACTACGAGAAGCAACTCGTGCTCGCCGAGCGCGAGTTGTCCGACCGTCTCTCCCGGAGTGTCCAGAGCCTCCAACAGCCCACCCCTTCTTCTTCTCCCGCTTCCTTCCCTTCTAGCTCCCCTCATCCCACCACTCCGTGTACTCTCCAATACACACCTCCCACCCCTCTCTCTTCCCTCCTCGCCGCCGACACCCCCAAGACCCCCGAGACCCCGACTCCTCTGTTGAGCAAGACCAAGCGCTGGAAGGAGTGTGAGTCCTTGACGGACGCGCTCAGTCTTGCTCAGCAAGAGCACTCGGCTGTTGGGGGAGCCGCCATGCATGTCCTCCAGCAGTACCAGCTGGATGGCGGCATCGAGCGCACCGACCCGACGGCTGCGCTCGAGGCGGCTCATAAGGGGCACGAACGTGTCCGCGAATCGGCTATCTCCACCCTCCAAGGACTAGGAGCGGTGGAGGAGGAGTTAAAGGGCGTGCTGAGCCAACGGGGGCGCCAGCAACGTCTCTGGAAGAGAGAGGAGGAGGCGTGTAAGGGCCGGAAGCCAAAGAGGCTTTCCCGCCAGTAGATATCCTCCCGTTCCGTCGACCACCCCGGCCCACAAGGCCCGAACCTTGTCTGGCCTCCTAGTGAAGGACGACCCCTATTCATTACCCTTCACTGTCGACCCGAACACCGCAGCTGCCCCGGTTAAAGCCCCGGTCCCCGCCTAGTTTCCGACGCCGGGACCCTCCCCCCTATCGGCAAGAACACCGCAGCGTGCCCCGGTCAACGCAGACCCCCGATCTATCTACCCTCCGACATCCGACGACATCACCCTTCTTCTTCTTCGGCCTGACAAGAACACCGCAGCTGCCCCGGTTAATGCACAGATGTCCGCCTAGTTTCCGCCGCGGACATCGAACCCCGACAATGGCCAAGAACACCGCAGCGTGCCCCGGATAACGCAACACGAGTCGCCTGCCCGTCATACAGGCGGCTTCGTGTCGACTTCCCTAGCTTCCGACGGAGTCGACTCTCCTTAGTTAGGATAAGAACACCGCAGCTTGCCCCGGAAAAGCGACTTGCCGGCCTAGTTACCGTCGCCGGCCCCGAATTGTTCTATTTATGTCATATCACTTTAGTAACCTTGTCACCGTCACGACTTCATACCGACTCTAGTATGACAAGAACACCGCAGCTGCCCCGGTAAAAGCCACCAACACCATTCCGACCCTAGGCTTGCCTAGCTCCCCGCGCAAGCTTCTATATCATCTTCGACTTGATAAGAACACCGCAGCTTGCCCCGGACAAAGCAACCTCGCCCGCCTAGCCTCCGTCGCCGGCACCGATGTCTTCGAATAATATCATATCATCTCACCATCTCATCATCACCCACACGACCTCATGTCGACTACACCTCGGATAAGAACGCCGCAGCGTGATTAAATGACTAAAAAAGTCCTAATTTAACTATAAAAACTTGCCCCAGTAAGGCAAGTATATAACAATAATCGATACTTTCTCTATCCGGCATACCTATATATCGCCGCGGCCGTGGCCGCCGCCTTCAGAGCCACGGATACCACCACCTACCTTCACTTCCGACTTGGAACTCGTCCGTCCAGTCGTGATTAGGCTTGAGATGCACATTAACGTCATCTCGCCTACAGAGGCTTGAATCCGCTCGCGCCACTAGCGGGTTCGTTGGCGTTTGGGGGAATTTCGGATTTCTGGGAGTTCACAGGCACATATTTGTTTAAGCGATACCCTCTCGTTATTTTTGTATTTGAAGAGAATAGACTCTGAAGTCTCTTCTTCATACACGATGTCCCCGTCAAAGCTAGGGAGTCTTGTGTATATAATAGGCACTGCGCGTCCTATAGGGGAATTTTATACACAAAAATAACATTCTTAACTTATGAATCGAAGTGATATAAGTCTATGTCGGTGTGACAAATGCATGTTGAATCAATAACCGTGCAACTTCATGCAAGCCCGTGGCGTACTATGATGCGATCAAGTCCCTGAACGGGCAACCGGGGAGCAGGTCCTGCTCCCGATTTTCTCGGATTAATTGCTGCGCTTTTTCGAACTCTCTACCGAGACCTTCACCGAACCAGTCTATCTCGAGAGGGGAATTCGGAGAACTCGGTTAGCATCAATCCAACATCGAATCAACCAATATCAATAGATATAACACACGCTGATGAAGGATGTCATATCTTATCTACTAATTGCCCCGATATGTCACCCGTTCGCGTAGGGCTGACAATAGCTTAGCTACTAAAAGTCACAATGCAGATCTTGCATATAGTGCTGATGCCAGCCATACCCCTGAGTATAGAGTCCTTGAATACACACCATCCCCAATCCTAGTTAGTACACCAAGCTATACCTACACATGCAGCGGAGGGATACCACCATGCCTGCCGTTACACAAAATCGGATTCACAAGCTAAATGGTTCACAGCTGATCAATAGTTCGAATTCCTGTCATATCAACCACATAATGCTCACCTAAATCATTACCAGATTTAGGAAACCAAGAGCGAAATAATTGTCGACCAACGCCATGCAAGGAGTCAGGCCTATGCTGACAAATGTCATATCGATAGCCATAGAGAGATCGACGCTACTTATGCACGAGGTAAGGCATGTTTCCTAGTGTGTAACGTGCTATCCATAAATAGCCAGTGAAACCCCCACCGGTTCGTCTATAAAGAGGGACAGCTACGGCCTTCTTTGATGGAAATCGGTCGTACATATACTCCGTATCCTCTTTACGTCTAACGAGGTTACACATACCTTTTTATTCATGATTATTTAAATAACCCACTTCAACATCTCACCCCTAACCCCACACTCCAATCCCAACCAACACCACCAAAACCACACCACCACCATGGCCGCCGCAACAACCGGCTTCATAACCCTCCCCGACAACGTGCGCCTCGCATACTCGCAGTCCGGCCCTCCGACCGGCCCCAACATAGTCTTCATCCCCGGGTGGATCCAAACGGCCGCGCAATTCCACAAGCAAGTGTCCCACTTCCAGACCCGCTTCCGCGTAACGACGTACGACCACCGCGGCCACGGCGACTCCGACAAGCCGGCCTTCGGGTACCGCGTCCCCCGCTTAGCCGCGGACCTGGACGCGCTGCTGAACCAACTCGACCTGCGCGCCGTGACGCTCGTCGGACACTCCATGGGCGCGAGCGTCATATGGGCGCACCGGGACCTGTTCCCGCGCACGCGCATCGCGAAGGTCGTTTTTGTAGATCAGGCGCGGACGCTCGTGTCCCAGCCCACCTGGTCCGACGAGCAGAAGTTACAAGCGGGCGGCTCGTTTTCCGCGGATGCGTTATACGAGACCGTGGCCCTGCTCACGGGGCCGGGGGGCGACGAGGTGAGGAAGCAGTTCGCGAGGAGGTTTTACAGCGAGGGCGTGGATGAGGAGGAGTTCGAGTGGGCGGCGCGGCAGAGCGCGAAGGCGCCGAATGAGGTTGCGGCGAAGATGATGTTGGGGCATGCGATGCATGATTGGGGAGATGTGTTCCCGCGGTTCGATGTGCCGGTGCTGGTTATCTCAGCTAAGGGTAGCTTGCTGCCGGTTGAGAGCGGGGAGTGGATTGTGGGACAGGTCGGGAAGAATGCGCGGCAGGTGGTGTTTGAGAAGGAGGAGGGAGGGAGCCATTTTATGTTCTTTGAGAACCCGGAGAAGTTCAATCGTATTCTTGAGGAGTTCCTTGACGAGTGACGGGGGAGGGGTGGTGGTGGTTACGAGAGAGGATGTTAGGGGTTCGGAATGGTGGTGTATTCAGGGGTTGCTAGCGCCATAAGCTATGGTTAGAATAGGGGTAGAGAGTCTGCGTGTTGAGAACCCTTCAGGAATGACAACTTCAGTTTGAGCACACGGGTACTTGCAACTGTTTTCACACAAATCATACATGGAAGTAATCACGTTGATATGAGCACTGGTAGTGTTCAAAAAATTAAGTCAAATTATACCTACCTATGTGCGTAGTATATTGCTTACACTGCCTACATAATCTTTCGTTGCCAGTTTAGGTACCTGTTCCAAGCGTTGGGATAAGATAGGGGAGAGCAAATCCCTTCTCACAATACCACCACCATTCTGATGCTTCAGGATAGATTAGTTGTCGGAATTTGAGCTTCGCATATTCGACAAATATCCGGAAGAAATGGGCGTGCTCGTGATACCTATCTCGTATTCCTTTACCAAACGAATCCTCAATCTTATCGGCGATGATTTTCAACCTAGCTTCCAACTGGTCATATGTATCCGCCTCATGGCTATTGAAACGATCAAACCAGTGGTCTGGGCTGCCTGTGATTGATAAACTATTCCCAGATGCATCTAGAGGATGTTGTAATTCCGGATATTCGTCCATCGACTGGATGCGCATATAAATCATAAACGCACCGAGTACCATCATGATTCGCTTGTCTGGGTCCAGTATGTGCTCACTGATAAGGTTAACTCTCAAGCCAAATTGATATACTCGTCGCATAAAATGTGCTATGTGATCGTAGCCGTACCAATCCTGCTTCAGCTCCCGCCGACGAACTCCTGATGCGATATTAAACCGTGATATATCGGTATCTGGCTCCTTCTCGAAGTCGACTACGGCCCTTCTGAGCGTCCTTAGCTGAATGCGCATTTCGTTCTCGGCTGTCATGCGAACGCCTTGGATGGCATGAAAGGGGATACGTAAAGCTGGTCTAATACAGTCCTCGTAAAATTCACGGAAAGCAGCTTCTGTATACGCAGATTCGACGCATGCTAAAAGCGGAATGCGCGGGATCTCGGGGATGAAACGGCTCAAGGCCATCGTTGGCACAGTGAGCCGGCTTGTCCACTCATCTCGCCATTTCTTCCACTCTTCTGTAGGGGGATCCATGGTGTTTCTCGTGTATCGTAAATGTTCTACTCTCGGTTAATAAATTGTGAATAGGGTATAAGCTTCGTGGCTTGGTGCTTCGGTTCCAAGCTCATGAGAGACGGCATTGAAGGCACTAATTAATAGCCGCGAATACAGACTGTAGTTGGCGAACGTAGCTAATTGTTTCGTAACAATTGCAAGTTCTGAGGCCTATATGAGTCGAAACGATCTCATTGTTAAATAAGCAATCTACCTAGGTAGTCATTAGTATACTAAGTAATGCGGAATCAGCCATTGTTCATCTGTTGAAGTTGAGACGCATCTAAGTTACGACTTAGAATCACATAGATTATTAATTTCGCCATATTATCGTATACTATACTAAGGTTTATGGGTATGCCGCACTGCAATAAATAAAGATTGAAAATGTACTTGGTTGTCGAGTATAAGAGGGAATAAAGGGGCTAGACTCCATCCTAGCCAAAATAAAGGGGTTGTTGGACATGATTTGTGTATAAAGCAATATTGCCATTTTGCAGAGGAAAGAAAACAAGGAAATTGTATTCACCAATCACACAGCACCTATTCTGTATATACATATCAAAGTTATTCGCACTAAGGGTTCTAGCCAATAGGAATCATGATCGGGAAGCGGACCCTCCAACTATCCGGCCTGATGGTACAAAACCGGGGCTGAGACACATAGGGCGGCAGGGATGAGCTCTCTAAGTCCCGCCTGCAGCTGGAAAGGCTCCGAGGAGCCAATGAGGGGCAGGCGAAAGGGGAGGAGACGTAAGACGTCAGACGTAACGTAAGTTCTTTCCCTTCGATTGTTCTTTTTACCTAACAACTCAGCACATGTACGTATGTGTACGTATCGATCATGACGCGAAGACCAGTTGAAATCACCTTACGCCTCACACCGCATTAGATTAGTCTCGTTCCACAGACATAGCAGGCAGCAAGTAATAAGATCATCTTCATCTGTCGTTCAGTTCGTTCTTCCTTCAATTTGCATGTACATAATCTACCTGCCTCTGTAAAATCACCTACATATTTATCCACTGTGATTCGAACCATCAGTTACCTATTCCGGGCTTGACCTACGTCAGCAGCCGCCCGAGTCCCCTTGCCTTGAAAGACGTCGTCTAATAGGCTCAAGGCAGCTGTGCCTCGCACACTTATAACTTGCCCACTTCCGTAAATCCCGAAACTCTTAATTGCCATCCGTCCAAACGGTATTGTGTACTGAGGGAAGGTAATCAGTATGAGATATTCAGATACACTCCTGCCATTCGTGGCAACAGCCGCCGCCATCGTCATACCCGACGAGGCTACGGCAAACCAGCTCGTCCTTGATGCAGAGCAGAAGGTGGAGAAGACGGCCTCCTCGTGGCGGGACCACTTCTGCCACGGTGCCAACACGCTTCTCTCATCCATCGAAGACACCCTCGACAACGCCTTCGACGGTCCCGAAAGGCAGACAAACAAGCTCAAGGGTATTGTAGCCGAGGGGCTTGAAATCGACATTGGGTCCGATATTACCGATTTCCTCGACCCGTCAGATTATGCCGACGGACCTCATGGACCTCATGGACCTCACGGGCCTCATGGACCTCATGGACCTCGAGGACATTTCACAAATCTGACGGTGTACCAGACCCTCCACGCATCAAATCACACTACCAAGTTTGCCAAGATGCTCGACGACTTCCCGGAGATGATCGACAAGCTAAATAGTACATCGGCCAACGTAACCATCTTCGTGCCTACTGACAAAGCCTTCGAGAAGATCCCCGATCACGTCAAGAACCACAAGCCTCCCAAGGAATTCGTCGAGAAGCTCGTCAAGTACCACATCCTCCCCGACTTCTACCCCGCCGGCCGTGTACTCTCTTCTCACACGCTTCCGACAGCGTTCGAGGAGGAACATCTAGGTGGTCGACCTCAAAGGATACGCGTTAGCGTGGGTCTGTTCGGCGTGAAGCTGAACTTCTACAGCAAGGTCGTCTATGCCAACCTGGTGCGTCTCCTCTTCGCCTTTTCCCCCCTTGTCCCATCGCTAACCCCTCTCTAGATCACCTCCAACGGCGCCCTTCATGCCGTCGACAGCATTCTAGTTCCCCCGCCGCCAGCCAAACGCCTAATCTCGCTCTTCCCTACCAAATTCTCCACCCTCGAGCTCGCCGCGGAGAAAACAGGCTTCACTCATCATCACCACCACCACTCCAACTCATCCGGACCAGCACTAACCGGCCTAACCGTCTTCGCCCCCACGAACTTAGCCTTCAAGAAGCTCGGGCCCCGCGCCAACGCCTTCCTCTTCAACACGCCGAAAGGTCTGCATTTTCTGCGCGCGCTGCTCGCCTACCACGTCGTGGCCAATGAGACGCTGTACTCGGACGCGTATTACGGACATCAGAAAGCGCCAGAATCAGGCGAGGTAGGAGAGAGTGCAGACGGCCACTTCCATATCGATCTACCGACCCTGCTCGGCGACAAGCACATCGGCGTCGATATCGCGCGTTGGCATGGCTTTATCCGGGTCAAGTTGAACGGGCGCATCGGCGTCGCGGTCCAGGATGGACTGGCCAAGGATGGCGTCGTCCAGGTCGTGGACTCAGTGTTGATCCCACCGCACCCGCGGAAGCACCGCGGCGTTTGGGATGGGGAGAGTGATGAGGGAATTAGTGTCACAGAGCTTATTGAACGACTTGAGCCTTTCGTTCAGGAGGGATTTGAGGATGAGAATGCAACGGAGGTAGAAGTTGACGAGGTTAAGCAAGAGGATGCGCAGGTGGAGTTGTGATAGGGGAAAAGTTACCGAGGTAGTATGAACGAGTGGATGGTTGCGATGATGTGACGAGTATGAGTACATGAGGATGTGGACGGTATGATATGATAAGTACGATATGGAAAATTGGGCCAGAATTTGAAACGGATATGGGACCGGGTCTGTATAGGGCGAAACGCATGTCATCTATCTTCTATTTGCACAAAAATAGAAAGGGGAGGCGGCGCAAAAGTTACAGACTAAGATTGCATTACTCATGTATCATCATGTTTGATAAAAGCTTCACTCATTATGTACTTCAGTTTAGGTCATGCATTTGGGATCGAGTGGTTGCAGTTGAGTACCAACATGGAACAGGACAAGGTGTCTTGCATTTGTTTAGGTAGAGCAAAATAAGCAGCCAGCATCGCGTCATCATGCCATATCGGAAGTCCACTCTCAACATTCCTTCGTGATTCTTCAGTAACCTTAGCACGGACGTACATAGTTCCACACATCACAAACCCCTCGAAGGCGGTCCTCCAAACCCAGCAGCGAGCCTCACAGGCCCCTGAATCCGCGTCGCTCGCCGAAACGACGCATCGACGAGTCTCACGCCCGAGCGCACATCCACCGCGCCCCAGCGCTGCTCGCGGCTCCTCCTCCTCGTCCACGTCGTCATCGCACCGTCTTTCTTATCCATTTCGTCACCGCCGTCGTCGTTGCCATCGTCGTTGTTATCCCACTCCCAGACCCCGAGCTCGTCGAGCAGTACTTCGACTACCCAACTATACCTCGCTTCACCCGCGCCGATAGACGTGTTGCTGTTGTTGTTGCTATCTCCCCCCGGAGCAAATAGGGTCTCGGCGTCGGACCGCGTGCGCGGAATACGTGTGCAGAGGAGGTGCAGGTCGAGGAACTGCGCGAAGGTGGCGCCGAAGGCGGGTTTTGTGGTATAGGTATGACGTCTGGCGTTTCCGTCTCCGCCTCCGCGTTTCGCCGGGCCTGAGTTGAATATAGAGCGTAGCGTCGGTTCTAAAGAACGGGTTTTCGACGCCGTGGTAGTATGTGGATGCGGGGCATTTGGAGTTGTGGTGGTGGATGAGTATGAGGAGGTGGATGTGGTGGATGTGGTGTTGAGGAGCATGATGAGCGGTCCGGCTGCGGATCGGGACAGGTACCGTAGGTGCGAGGAGAGCAGCTGCAGGGTGGTGTGCGCGCCGGTTTTGTTGTCGGCGGAGCGGGTGAAGAGGTTTGTGAGAAGGGTGGAGAAGTGCGTTATTAGGATTATGTCGGGGATATGGGAGGGTTCTTCCTGTTTGTTTGTAGGTGTTGGCGCTTTTGTCGGAGAAGAAGTAGTTGGTGCGGCGGGAGGCGATGGTGAAGGTGCTGAGGGTATGGGTGGATGTGAAGATGGAGGCCTAGGAGACGGCGTAGATAGTTTTTGTGCCGGTGACGACGACGAAGACAAGCTAAGCTCTTCATCTTCATCGTCCTCGCTATCTCCTACCTCCGTTCTCTCTATCCTAGGAGGTGATCGTAGAGAAGGGAGAATAGGAATCTTCGGTGCCGCCTCGCTCCCAACTTTTTCGGCTGGTCTTTGGGAAGATAGTCTTGGACTCCCTGATATTTGCAGAGTTGGCACTTCGTTCATAGCAGACACACCACCTCCCAACTCTCTTTCCTCCTTTGCACTAGCTGTCACCGAAGGACTAGGAGGAGAAGGCGAAGGAGGCGTCTCAATCTCACTAATAACCTCCCACAAGCCCTCGACATCAAAGACCCTCGAGACAGATATCAATTCTAGACAACGTCTCACTTCTGCATTCACCTCCTGCTGCCTATGAGCCGCAGCCGGGCCGAACTTAGCCTGGACCTGCACCCTGATGACATCCCTTAGCATAGGCAGGATAGCCGCAGGCGCCAGCGTAGTAATAATAGTCGCTTTCCGCGCGGCGCCGAAGACCGTAGCATGTGCTACGGTGTGCAGTCCGACCTATACGCACATTAGCCATACCCTCTCTCTCTATCTGTCCCCCTTGCCCGTTCATCCCCCATTTCCCCAATCTCATCGTCTCGCGAGGAAAAGGAAACTCACCAGAACCCCAAACTCCGCCTCCTCAGCACTAACACCAGCCACTTGCCCGCGCTCGAAGCCGCCTAACAGCACGCTCTCGTCGATCTCGGCGGACCCGGTCTTCAGCGCTCCGCGACGCCTCAGCCCTGCACGCCTCGCGGTCTCGAGCTCGAATAGCATCGCGCCCGACACCGGCTCCAGCAGGGGAAAGTGCGAGCTAGCTTGCGAGGTGGCAAGCGGTATAGGGCCCGAATCCTGTCCGTCGAACTCCATGGTGTTACATCGTCCCGGGGGGTTGGTTGAGCTGCCGTTCGAATCGGAAGGTCGAATGGTGAAGTGGGAAAATAGTGAGGGTGAAACCTGTTTGCGAATTGACTAGGTTAGGTACCTTGGGAAGAAAAGAGCATTTGCTAATCTCGATCGATCGCTCGCTAAACTATCGGTCGCAAAGCAGTATTTCGCAGCAACTCTACGGTTGAACCATCCCGTACTTCCATGTTTATGTATGTAACTTAGATAATTCATGATTAATGGAATTTGTTCCTAGAAATGTATTATGCGAAGGTTCTCCAAAGTGGAGAATTTACACATTCATATCAAAGTATCCTTTATTCCTTTTTTTCTTTTCTCAAAGCAGAGCATGTTTCTATAGCTAGCTACCTGTATCATCATACAACTAGGCCTCGATTCGTTCATCTCAATCTGCATGAACTTCACCTGATGACCACTAGCAATACCAATGTCTCCCCTAATTTCCTTTTGCTGCCTCCACTAGTAATGCTGACAGACCATCCGGACCTGCCGCTCCTTCCTAATAAGACAACGCAAGAAGCTATCCAGACACAAAGGTGAGCCTCATCAAATGAGTGTTGATGCAAGTTGCCGGCGCCTAGAAGCTCTCCCATATCTCGTCTTCTCCAGCCACGCCCATTTTGCACTTTCAACAGAGAAAAGTTTCTTGAAGTAATCGTCATGAATTCGCCGTCATAGATCGGCGTGAAATCCGAAGTTTACAAACACCATGTACTGTTATTGTCTCTAGTAACTACCGAACCTGGCTCAAGTCCTGAATGCAGCTGCATGTATCAGCTACCTTATGAGAAATAATCCACAACACTACTCATTAGTCTTCTCGCAACTCGGTTTCAGATCGCCATGCCAGGTTTCGGTGCCGAGAAGTCCCTGCTAGGTGGTTCCGGTCGCTGTCGTTTCCCTCCCTTCAGGCTCCTGACGCGCGATAGGAATCCGTTGCTTCCCGGCTTCGATCCGTCCGGCGATTCGGCTGTTACTACTCCATCATCAGTCGTTCGACGCTCCAGACCAGGACCGGAGAGCGTTGGACTAACCGGGTTCGAATCTGAACGTTTGACAGAGATGCGCTCCTCTGTTCTGTCGAACTCCGTGAAGAACGGGTTCCTTTCTCCATTAGTGCCACCGGCCGATATGTCACCCGACTTCGGGGTATAGTAGCTGTCCGGACTGGTAATTCGTGGGGAATCGCTGTAGTCACGCGCGGGGCGCTTGATGCTTCGGAAACGCTGAACCACCGACTTCTTTCTTCCCAAACCCTGCTCCATGAACTCTTGCGCTGTCTCGGCCTGGTTTCGTTGAATTGCCGCACGGGCTGCCGGGGTACCCTCCAGGAAAGTCGATGATCCCAGTCCAAGAGTCTCCTCGCCATCGACTAATTCACCCGCCTGCTTCGGATCGAAGAAGGTCGCCTCGCTCTTACTTCCATTCCTTTCTTTGGCCGCAGTACTGAACATGGCGGAAGCTTCATGTGGCTCTTGTCCCATGAATTGCTTGTGGTCGGGTCTTTGAGTAAGGGGACCTGCGCCACCGATAGAATTGTTGGCCGAATCCTTAGCGAACGCCTGCATCGGTGCACGGCGGCTGCCCTTGCGGTTTCGGTGCGGATTGCAGGCATCAAATGGACCATCGTGATGGAATACTAGAATTGAGTGAGCACGTGAAGTTTGAAGTTAAAAAAAATGCCTGGTGGCAACTTACGTCCAGTTCCATAAATGCTCGTAGCATCAAGTTGATCGATAATATCGAGTTTTCGACCAGTGCGAGGCTTATCTTTACCGTCGCGGTGACGTCGCTCGCGCTCCTTGCGTTTAAGCTCACGTGCCTTCTTCTCTTCGTCCGTCAAAGGCTTCTCCAACATCGAAGAATCGCTGTTACGTCGAGGGCGGCGTTCCGACGGTCGCTTCTGAGGTGAGGGCGCATTCTTCTCTCCGACCGAGGCGCTAGGCAATCGGCGCGCTTTCAGGGCTTCTTCTTGCGATCGGGTTGGCCTGTGCGATGAAGAAGGTGGTGCGGCGCGACCGCGAGGAGGATTGTTTTCGCCTCGAGGCGGGGCTCCAGGGGGGCGATTCATCGGTCGTCCAGGAGCCTGTCGAGATTTGTCCTCGAGCGACAAGCTTCCCTAATTGCGTAAATGTCAGCAATTTCAATTATAAATTGCGACAACTTTTAATCCATGCAAATGGAACATAAAATTCGGCAACTTACAAATAAGTCATCGACTCCAGTCTTTTGATCCTGAGGTGCCATCTTGTCTGGTGAACTCACACGAGCTGTTGATGGTTGGTTAGAGGGATCGAGGAAAGGGTTCCTTGAAGTAGGTCTGGGAGGCGGAGGGGGGTCATCAAATGGTGAATGGGGAGGGGACGTCAAGCTATTGGGCGAAGCAGCTCGGTTGCGAAAGGGGTTGTTTGACGAAAGATTAAGCGTCAGGCCAGCGGATTGGGTGCTTGGGCCATTATCATATAGACCTATTGCATGACAAACAAGCGATAGTTAGCTATTAACCGGACCAGTGCAGATTTTGTTGCAATGGGAATGACGACTGTGATAGGCGATTGTGAAACATCAATTTCTACAAATGAAACAGGCAAATGGTCCTGATAAGTGGACCGTAACCGACCTCCTTATCGTCCTTAATGCTTGTACCATCCAGATATAGTTCGGATGGAAAGGGGGAGGCGGAGCCAGCATTATCTTGGAATTTCTACTTACCCAGAAGGTCTGCTGAGTGCGTGGACATCGTCGTTAAATTTCCCTGTTTTCGGTACAGGATCTCCGGAATCTCGCAGGGGATGCCGGGTAGCGCCCCGTCGTTGTAAATCGAGGATGTGAGAAATGCCGTGAAAAATGACTGATTGATGGTTTCCGACCCGGTCAACCAATAGTCGACTCGGTTAGGGCTCTAAAATCAAACTCGGGTGGTTGCGCAGTTTGGATTCTGCAGCAAGCTTTGGTTGAGGTGGTGTCTAAGTGTGTCAGGGGTGGAAGAGATAGACGACGATCGTCAGGGTGGCTAGAATAATTTGCCAAGTCGACCCAAGCTGGCCTTAGTCGACCTAAATTGCTAAATTGAACTTGGGACCTGTAGCGGACCGATGATGACGTTTGCCGCTGCTTGAAACCTGACGCGACACGTACTTTGCCGGTACAAATGAGATTAGAAAGGATACCAATCGAATTGATAGGTGAGATTAGGTAGAGAATGCGACATCCACTGGTTAGGTGGCCGTAATGGTGGGTTAGTTGTGGTCAGCTCTTGGGCCAAAGATGAAAATAGGTGTGTGAATGAATAGGCGTCGAAAAGGTGTGAGTGGTGATGGTTAAGTGGTTAAGTTGGGAAAGGTGTCCACGGCTCAGGGCTGCTTTTAGACCGTTACGGAAACGCGCGTTAGGTTGTTCTGCACTTAAAATGCAAGGAACCTGTGTGGAAGTTGCGATTCGCAAAAAGATTACGACCGTTGATTAGCACAATTAGTACGAAATTCGAGAAGCAAGAACGAGTCGTGTTGCCCGGTCGCGGCTTTCTTGGTTTGTCGTTGCACCTGTACCAAGTACAGTGTTTCGAAATATGTAGGTATGGATGTATTCTGCGTTGTTCGCTGCTCGAAAACCTAAAAATCTTATGGGGGACAACTTGGCGGATTGCGAAGAGGGGAGAAGTTGTACGAAGTTGTGAGAGCGTGCTACCGATCGATAAAAGGATGGTTTATTTGGTTTATTTGGTAATCATCGGGAATCTGCCCTTTCTTTGAGGTCGGGTGACAAGATTTTCCTTGGCTAGCTTGATTTCCAATGTTCTTCGGTCTGGTCGGCTCTCCTCTCTTTTCTAAACCCCCCTTCCCGTCCGGGTTGACGATGTCCGCGAAGACCCCTATTAACTAACGGGCGGTACTAAGAAAAATTAAGTGGGATGGTGCTGTCTCCCGCTGTGGACTCTAATTGATTTAAGATGGGGGTCTCTTCGTCCTGGCTCGTTTCTGACAGGACAGGACAAGGGGATATCGATGGGGATCGACAAAACGAGTGACTAGCGGGATGGGCCAACAGTTTCGCAATCGCGTATGTTAATAATATCCGGAGCGCTGGAGCAAGTGTCCTCTGAAGAGAATCAAGAATTAAGAGTTAAAAAGTTAGAAACCACCAAGATCGCGACGAAACTCGGAAGAGACAAAAGAAGTCTATCAATTGAGTTTAGGAACCGAGGCCTGCGAGGCCTAGCGGGAACCTTCTTATTTATTATATGGAAATGTTAGGATTAGGTTAGTGGAATTTCGTAAAGGGCAACAATACACAGTATCCGGGGGAAGCGACAGGGCGACCTTGTCTGCTGGTAATACCAAAGTGGAATAGTCAGATTAGAATAAAATAAAATATGCAATCCATACCACGATTAATTACCTTTACCGCCATGCATAAGGCCCTTGCGAAGGGGCATCTAACGACATAAAATAGCCGACAGGGACCTGGACCTACCTAAAAAGGGTCGCATCAACTCGTATCGATCGAAAGCTATCATCTCTACTTGGTATCAATAATTTCAATAATTTCACAAAGGACACATGGTTCAGAAAGATAGCATTGAATATAACTATGTACTTCATATTGCGGCATAGGAATTAAAGGAGTCCAAGAGTTGTGGCTAGCTTGATAACGGCCGGGATAAAACATCAGATCAATAGATGCATGTATTGATTTACATACGTGCGTCTATGCAGACAAATATGTGTACATTATTACACATCTATGAATTCAGGCTACACTTTTAGCTCCGGCCTAGAATAACCTTGTGTCACCAACTTTCATAGCCAACTAAAGCGAAAGTTGCCTTACGGTTATTATTTCTATCTGGTTTAAACCTTGACAGCTCGACTTACAACACCAAGCCTCCATTACCTACATAGGTAGGCACCATGAAATATATTTCAGCTCGTGAGGGGCAGTCCGAATCAGCTCCAACTCTCACACAAGTATCTTCAAGTTCTCTCGACCGACTATTCTTCAGCTCCAACACCAAAAAGTAAACACCAGGATTTCAAGGCTTGGCGTGCGCTTCTAGATTCTACCATGCAGACCGGACTAGCACACAAACGATGAATTTCGTAAGTTACCGGAAGAGCCTATTCGTGCGATGATTTATCCTACCGGCGCTTTATCCCTAGAAACTACAGCACACGCATATGTACCTGGATATACAATAGCACGTGTAACGCTAGCTTGCTGCGTGATTATCCATCCACTCGGCGAGGTAATACGCACATGCATATTTCGAAAGAGGCAAGTAAGGGATGCGGTCCAGGGGCACGGATGAACGACAAGATCTGGGTAGGATTCCTAACGAATGATTGCCTGGATACATATATCCCGAAAGGTGTCTTAAGCATGTTTTTATGGGATAACAGATCACAGATTCACGAGAATGTTATACATACAGCAACATCGAACCGAGAATCTTCTGTTGCAACGCATGTGATGAGGGATTCCAGGACCCCTTTTCAGGTACGCGGCGTCAAGCCACTGTAGACCGTTGTAGCCGAAAAGGAAACTCCCCACAATGGAGGTTGAATTCAAGCCCCTTGGCGTTTCTGTGGGGTAGTCCTGCATCTGCTAGCTAAGTGCTGTCCAGGTGTTCGATCCTCGACTGCCGCCCCTTTTTTCTTTTCAATATCATACCCCATTAAGGAACGAAAGACAAGATTGTTTGGATGTCATTGATATCTGCTTACTACGAGAACAGAAAGAAGAAGAAATTCTCATTCTACCTACCTAGGTAGGAAATGAGCGATAAACGGAGACTAATTATCTCGTTCGCTATGTCATTTTTAGGTTTTCCTTCAACTTCACGGAACTCCTATTTGAAGACCAATCAATAGAGTCCGGACGCAGACTGACATCAACGAGTATTGTCTATAAAACTTCTCCGTCATCCGGAAATCCAAATTACCAAGGCAGCTTCAATGGCGTCTCGAGATTCTTCCCAAGCACAGTTTCGGCCATACCGATATCTCCTGTTGCTCAACGTCAGTGACAAATGCAGCCTAGTTTCAATCTATCTGGGATTAAGACTTACGTGGACCACGAGGTGCCCAATATTCCCCGGACTTGCTAATATCTAGCTTGTTCGTCCACTCCACGAGGCTCTTCGCCGCTTCTTCTGGGGTTACGGCTGGATGGCTCACATATTAGCCCCACGATTTACAAGATGTGGATCGCAATCGCTCACCGCCACCTGCGTCCCAATGTTTGTCGAAGCCGACACCTTTGGTCATCTCGGTACGCATGAAACCTGGATGGATGATGCTGACGACAATGCCCTTTTCCTTCAGGTCGATGGCAAGAAGCTTGCCGGCCATGTTCAGTGCAGCTTTGCTTGCGTGGTGCGCGTAGTTCCCGCCGCCTTCTTTCTCATGTCGGAGAGTGATGCTTCCAGCCTCGCTAGAAACTAGGATTATCTTGGAGCCAGATTTCAAGAGACCGGCATGAGCAAGGCTATGCACGATAAACACCGGCGCAATAGAGCTTGTCGTATACATGGTCACTTCTTCATTCCAATTCGGACCTTTCTCAGCCGAAAAGTCCTCAGTCGTGAATCGACCAGCACTGATAATCTAGGGTGATGAGATCAGTGACGGGATATCGCCAAAGCAACAACCTATAACATACAACGACATCTAGTGGTTTCTGTCCTTTAAGCTGACTAGTGAGATTCTCCCCGACAATGGGTTTCGTCAGGTCAATGCCGGAGAGCCATTTAACATGATTTGGAAATCCACTTGGCGTATCGCCGGATCTCGTGGTCGCAAAAACGGGCGTTGATGGATCTGAAGCATATTCTTTCACCAAAGCGGCTCCTAAACCCCTGGTGGCACCTATGATGAGTGTAGAACTCATGGTAGTACGATGGAGTGTATTTAATCGGAGTACGAGAGTATGATCTTGGATATGATCTTGGGTAAGAGTTTATAAGGAACCTCATAGGTACCAAATGAAAGGTACACATGCAGTTGAGGAGTGTTTGTAGCACGCCATCAATGAGATAAACCATGACGTCACGTATTTGCTTTTCGGCAACTACCACAGCCATCTATAATGCACCTACCTGTCCTACCAACAATGAATTAATCCAATATTCAAACTACTTCCATGCGGTTTATGCAATCTATTAATATTTGAGGTCCCTTTCGTAAGATTCTTACTCAGCAACACTCCAGCTCGCATCTCCTTCCCTTTTGTAACTACTCTTGAGATACACTCCATGATTTCTGCTTCGTCCCGGTTCTAATGGTACACATTGATGTAAAATTTTCTAAGGATTTCGGCCATCTATTGATGTCTAGGTACAAATGAACAACTGGGCCAAATCTTCCTCCCACGATGTGTTGGAAGTCTTTTCCTGGGGATCCGGTCCGGCAGCTCATCATTAGTTCAACAACGTATGTGTGAATAAATCCTAGTGAATGTACTTTCATTACTATATGAAGCCAACATGACGAAACAAGGTACTAATGCACGACCTTTGACGTCTATATATTATCTACCAGCCAGATTTCACCTTCATTGAAATGTATTGGGATGAGGAGCCGCAAATGATGTGGCTCTATTATCTCGATACGAGAGCCATGTAGTGCTAACACAATGAGGATTATAAGCAGGTCGTTGCTTTGTAGCTTACCTAGGTCCTTAACGTTAACCCCTATATACAATCTAAACAGTGGTGGTAGTTAACATACCAGAATAATCACAAGACAAGGACAGGGCCGCCCATTGTCTATTCGTGCCTCAAACCCGAAGCTTTTCGAGTTCTTAGTCTTGAAGTCTAACTCGTCTTAAGGTCGATTGATTTCCTCTGCTATTCGCTAAAGAATAAAAACCTGTGGGGGGGGGGGGGGGGGGGGGGGGGGGGGGCGGCGGGGGGCGGGGGGGGGGGCGGGCGGGGGGCGGGGGGGGGG